AAGCCTTATCCAGTGCGACAAGACCTTTTCTTCAACTCCTTTGCAACTATTGTATTTGTGTACTCATGTTTTTGCCTTGCATGCGCTTTACGAACTCGAAATGGGTACGACATAGAAGTAATACAAGCAGCGGCTGTGTAGAAAGATGCATGGGAGATGCACTGTACCATAAGTCTTCCCCTCCCTTGTTGCACTCCTGGGAGGTTTGTGTGAATCCGCCCCAGTTTTTATCATGAGATGTTTATAGAGCTTGAGGTAACGGCCTCGAATCTACGAGCTTGCAGTCAATAACTGATTTGGGCGAAACGATCACTCTTCATGTTATTGCCACGACCTTTACAGGAAAAAAAAAAAGATGTTGAAATAGCGTACGCGAATAGAGAAGTCGTTCCTTGGACAAGGGAATAACGCACCTGGACCATTCAGGCCACGCATGTGCGAGTCTCGCTCATATGACACACAAGAGGTAATTGCTTCATTTTCGTCATAAACATAGTTTGTCGACTAGTCCGATGGTTTGCGTACGGCAACGTGATAAATAAACGCTGCATCAACCAAAACATGAATTCATACTAGCCTGTTGAAGTTTCAATTCTAATGAAATAAATTACACTACGTATAGTGGGGAAAACTAATGATTATGCAGTCGGCACGTGTTGGGCACCGTGAGTCACAGCGGCCGCACTTCTTAGCACGCGATTTGCCTAACTACCCGTTTTTTTTTGTTTTTTTTTTTTTGAAAATTTGGAAGCTTAGGTCATACTGGGAAGGAAGTATACATAGTCAAATATAATTTGCCTTCTCCTGTCCCACCGAACCGCATCACGCTCCAGCAACCCCAATTATTTGTAGAACGAACTGTTCCGTTGAACCTCGCATGAATACTCATAGTCCAAGTTTTGATCTCCATTGTATACATTGTTGTGACCTCCGCGATAGAGTTTTTCACTCAACCCCGCATTCCGGCACTGTATGGAACGTAGAGCAGCTGGCCAAGCAGGCTACGCAGCCTACATGAGGGATCTCTTGAAAAGCAGCGACCGCAGGGGTCAGGGGCTAGTGAGCATGGAGAGAGATGGAGGTGTCGGTGAAGGGGAGAAAAAAAAGCCCCTGCTCAGTGCCTCATTTCTTCGAACCGTGTCAGCGCGATTTGCACCCCCTCGTCATGCAGTGTGGCGCGCCGGCACACGTGTGGCAGTTCACCTCCGAAATGTTGGCTTTCCAGTCCTGACTTGGTGGCGCCGTCTGGTATTTTTTCCAGAACTACTCGCAATATGGCGACAGTAGAACCGCCACCTTAAACAGAAGCTCTTTTCGGGTTGCAGGTAAAAAAAAGAGACCTGCCTCGTCAGCTTTTTTCGCTTCGCCGCAGACGCTTTTGTAAACGAGAGCGTGCCTAGTCTTAAAGCGCTGCAGCCACCCACCTGAGGCCTGAAATCCGTCGATATGCAGAGCAAGTGCAAACTCGTCGGCTTTCTCCCGCAAAACTTTGCCATCGATATTTACGCCAGCTGCGGTTACTTCTTTAAACCAGGTCAGGAGAGTCTCTTCAAGTTTCACGTGCTGAGCGGTCTTCGCTTGCTTTGCGTTGACGTTGAACGAAAGCACGTTTTTCATTATGGTCTCTCACTGTCCAACAACCGTGCTCAGTGTTGACGTTGCAAGGCCTAGCTCCTTAGCCAACTCCGTCCGCTTTCTCTTAGGATCCTCATCGACCTTGCGAAGGATGTCTAATTTTTCCTTAAAGGAGAGCGCTTTTCGCTTGCGAGACATAGCTCGTTGCGACTAGGCAAAATGGCGCAAACACAAAGAACGCGGTCCGAAGCACAGCACTGCAACCACTCCGTCCAACGCCACGCAGAGAAAGAGGAAAAGCACAACAGCAACAAAAGCGTCACCGGCCCAATTGCCCCGCGCAGTCCGGCGCGTCGTCGCGTCCGCGCCGCCGCCACCGCCGCACCCAAAAAGCGAGGGAGAAAGGAAACCGTGGCCAGCGCCATCTCTAAACCTAAACCGAAATCAAAGGGCGCAAGCGGTCTCCGAGGTCTCCGATATTGCGCACGCCGCGCGCCGATGTTGGAGACCGCCACGCGCTGCTGGCAGGCACCGTTGGCAAAATGCCAAACCGTTGGTGCAGCACGCATTCCGGCGCGCGACTGAGCGCTGTTCTATTTCTCGGCCGTCAGTGGGCGGCGTTCATTCGTATCAAACGACGCGGGCAGAAAATCGATTCGTAACAAACGTACTCTAGCGCATTGCAAAGTAATGGGGCTCGGCAGGGACCACAGAAAAATTCGTATCATCCGGAAATTCGTATTAGCCGTGATCGTATCATCGAAATTCCACTGTAAAGCACTGTGAGGTTATTCTTAGTGTCTGTGCCAATTTTCATCAATATCCAACGAGAAACAAAAAAGTTCATTGAAAAAAGCCTGTCGAAAACTTCGACAGGCTTTTTCTCACAAGTGTGTTGTGGACATTGTGCATTGCTCGTGGAAAGAATAGCACGAGAATGACTGGACCGATTTTGATTGTTTTTTTTTTTTTCCTGAATCGCTGAACACTGCTTGTGGGTACAGCAATCTTAAATTTCTGTTTTGTGGCCCTGTTATTTTTCTAGACGATGATTTGTCCGTGCCATTTTTTCTGACAATGTGTGTCGGCAGCCATGATGACCTCTAAAAAAAAAGAGAGCTTATTAAAAAATTCAGAGAGTGTCATACCCTGTAGCTTTCTTTTGAGTAAAGATCAACACCATTCGCAGCTTCCTGGCATGTTTTGTTGCAGCGCTATGCTTTCCACGAGCAGACCATGTAATTGGATCGTGTAGCATTATGTAACTTGAGAACTACTGAAGCTATCATGATGAAACTGCATATTTCCCTATTCTAGACACTTATGAGTATGCATGCCAAGTTTCATTGCTGTAGGTCAATAAATAAAAAAGTTTTTTTCAATGCCACCTCCCCCCTTAAGTGCCACTTACGACGTAAAACAGACCCAGGGAAGTTCCAAAATGGGTCTGAAACGTGTCATGCAAAAGTTTATTTTATATACGACGCGCACTCGTCGTACCAATACTTACCCATGTCTAAACCTTATACAAAAACGTAAGTTGGTCAACGAGTGTTTGATAGCTGAGCAGGTATATATCCTCGAGCTCTTTGGGGGACACGATAACTTTCGTGTGATTTCATGTCATGTTGTGCAGGACTGTTACATGTACTCAAAAGACGTGAGCTTGTTAAGCCGCCAACGTTGCGGCAGCTCACCTTGCATCGTTCTCGAGGAGGCGTGCAACAGCTGGCTGTTTCGTTCGAGGATGCGGCGAGTGATCGTGTGAGTGTACGAAGTCGTACCCCAAATGCATACCCTCGAGGATATTATCTCAGCTTTTTGGCGAGCTTAGCTACGTATTTTTAAGCGAAAAATGCAGAAAAAAACAGCGCGCACGCGGTGCATTGTTTTGTTTGCTGCCACGACGGTAAAGTTTGTTTACGTTTACGTCTGCTGTCCCAGCGTTTGATTTTGTGATCTTCGGGCAGCTTCGGGTTGTCTCGGGTTCCCCACACACGTAACCACGACGCTGCTTCCTGTCCAGACCGGAACTAGCTGACTGACCCTCGGGCTAGCTCTGGCTGCCAGAGAGCTGCCAGAGGCCTGAAAATCGAAAAGCCCCAATAAGAAACTATGGGCATTTCGCCGATGCCTGTTAAGTGGTTGAAAGTGGTTTCTTGGGTAGTCGGCAGAGCACCGACTGCGTTCACTGTAACCGATCGGCGGTGCTCGAAGATGTTCGTTGTAAGTGCCATTTTGTGCCATTGAAACTATGCATATTTTCACGGTTACGCAGATACTGTTCGTGTCAAGCGAAAGTTCGTTTTAAGTGGGGCTGTTATATGTGAGCTCGACTGTATATACATACAGTCAAACCTCATTATAACCAAGTTAAAGGGGAGTTCAATTACTTTGCTATAACAATTAGTTTGTTATAGCCAATACCCGTTGATAATGAAATTAGCCATTGTACTCGTCACCGAATATCACAGGAGCCCACCGTGCTAAGAAAACAGCCTTCAGAAGGCAAAAGCTAGCAAAATAATAAAGAACAATGCACTTTATATCCGAAAAAATCAGCACACCCATTGGCAGATCACTTGGAAGAAAAATAGTTCTTAATAGATTTTTGCCGACTATTCCTCATGCGAACGGCTGCTTTTTCAGCTGCAGCAGCTATTTAGAGTCTGCCCTTGCCATCATGTTAACCACCAAAGAAGCGGCGCAGGAGGTCTGTCACATCCAGCACGTGCGCGAGCATCGGTACGTCAGGTTCGCCAACATCAGGCTCTGGGTTGTCCGACACATTTGTCCCTGTCGTCATGCACCCTCGCGGTCGAGTCCATTAGTTCCCGAGGAAAGGGGAGGCAAGAAGGCTTGCACCCATGCGCGTGTTGGGAGGCGGCTCCGGGGGAGTGCAAGGCTCGCGCGAGTTTTGAGTTACCGCACCAGTGATGAGACGTAGATTGCCACACAATATAGGATATTGAATAGACGTGTACCAAAATGATCAGTGAATGCTCACTGTGGACAAAGAATGGTTCGCTATATCCAGTAAGGAAATTTTCGCTTCGCTGAAATGAGGTTAGAAATACATGGGCGTCTATGGGAAATTCAAAGGGAATTACAATTGCTTTGTTATATCCCCTTCGTTACAACGAGGTTCTACTGTACTTTTATATATCCGGGGCATGACAGCAATGGCAAAAAATCAGCCGAGAGTGTCCATGCAATAGTCATCGCAATAAAACCGTAACAGCAATATTAGAAAATTATTCAATTCACACCCAAAATTTTATTTTTCAATTTCGCTTCGCACCCAACGCTTTTGCTACTCAAACAGCTGAACTTGAATCCAATACGATACATGTGATGTCTCAAGGCAATAATTTTCCACTGCCTCAAGTATGCTCGCTAAAATCTAGGCTCCCCAAAGAACACACCTTGGCATCCTCGCTGGTGTCCTCGGCCCAGTCGTCGTCGACGTCGTCGCCCCAGTCGTCGTCCTGTGGGTCCGACTCGTGCTGCTGGTCCTCGCCCCCGCCACCGTTCTGCAGCTTGCCAGGAGCCTCGGTGGTCGAGCGACGCTCGTCGCGAGACTTGCGCTTGGTCTTGCCCTTGGCGGCCCCAGCGTCCTTGGCGGCGGCAGTAGCTGCCGCCACAGCTGCTGCCTGGGATCCCTTGGGGCCCTCCTGCAACAACAAGGCATTAGCAGGCATTAGTTGAGGAGGGTTGATTTTCCCTTTACTGGTTGGTTGAATCATAATACACTTATTGTACTTTTTCTGCAGATTCCATAAGTACAAAGTAGATTTTCAATAGCTGCATTAGAGCGACAAACATGCCACTTCTAAATACGCTTTGAGTATACAGTGAAACCTCAGTGATACAATCACTGCTCATACGAATTTTCCCGCTGTCTCGGCCAAGGCCTATTAGCATGCAGTGTGATGGAGTGCAGTTTCTGCAAACCGATCCCCCCCCCCCCCCCCCTAGTGACATTAAATATGAATCTATGCTACCAGCACACTCATGGGAGATGAGGCATTCGCATGCACAGGAACCCAATCAGGGGCATGGGCACTGCCCTGCCAAGTAAGCATCAGCAGGGCGTCGCAGCGTCCGGCACAAATCGCCTTCGTGTGCAAGTCGACATCCGATTTCTCGCACGCTCGAAATTCCAGACATGCCTGATTTCCCCAGACTTGTCTGTGGCACAGTCAAGTTGCCCATAGAGTCAATGTATTAATAAAAAAATCCGAAATGCCGGACGTTGATAGCTTTCACAATCCGATTTTTCGGACTTTTTTTTTTTTTTTTGCCGCTAGCCGCCGACTCCATGGCAGATTGAGGTCTCTATCGACAGTGCCAGTTTGGTTGTTTTCGTACCCTTGAAACTGCAAATGCCACAATCCAGCATCCAACGAGCGCCAATCTGTTGCCAGCCGTACATTAGTCAAACCTGTGGCCACAGCCACATGGCCGGTGCCGCCTGCACTCAGACAGCGGGAAAAGCTACGCTGTTTACCTGTGGTATAATAACTTTCCAGCCTCTATACCTATGGTCTGCTGTCAGCGTGCCTGCAAACTCGTGGAAGGCAGTTACGTAACAGGCCCCCTGAAACTGTTTTTCGCCACGCGAGTTTTATACAGAATTCTGAGACGGCCCTCTTGCCCGGAGTGGACAGCGTGTGCAACACAACTGTCGCAGCAGGAAAAATTGACGTACGCACGTGATTTAAAAAAAAACGCCCCTGCTATAAAGCTGCCTTTTTGGGAGATTCGAGAAGGCATTCGTACAATTAGGAGATTAGGTCGAAATTCGTGAAGTCTCCCGGACAATTCAAGAGAGTTGGCAAGTATGCTCTTTCATGCATCTGACGGGCAGCATTACAGCACTCCACGGCTAGTGGAGACTAACTGAAGCTCTCGTGAGTCGCTGCCGCAAGTGAACACGACATGGGCCACAACGTACAGTAAACCCTTGTTAACTCGAACTCGCATATCTCGAAATCTCAGTTAAGTCGAAACTTTTTTTCGCCGTGCATTAACCTCCCATAGGTGCTATGTATTTGCCCCCTCTTATCTCGAAACGTTTTCCGGAGGGAACAGTGGATATCTCGAAATCTTGACAGGGAGGGCAAAAGGCAAAGTCTACTCCCAACAGGAAACGAGGGCTCCGTGCGAACGCTTAGCTCTTACTATACGTGCCGAACGCAGTCGTGAAGGGCGAATTTGAAATTCCCGCGAACGCAGCCGTTTCCTATCAGCCTTGTCAGGCAACTGTGGGAGTGATCACGTGTGCGCACCTGCGCGCGACTTATGCGCGGTGGGCGGCGTGTGCAGCATGCGCCCGTCAGTACGCAACCTAGCCCTTGCATGTGCGAGCTGGTATTCTTTGTTTTCCTCGCGATCTGTGCACGACGCATCTTGAGCTCAGTTATGTTGAGTAGTGAGTGGTCTGTGCAACGGACGCTTCCGAATATCGACCATTGGCGCAAAATTCAGCGGCTGTGATGAGCTGTGCAATGAAGTGCCCAAGGCAACTGGCTGCGTGAGCGATACTGAAGACGGCGAGATCGCCTTTGAGGAGTATGCGCTCTACGAGGCCGACGTCCCCGTTACCGGAATGCTGTCGGACGCCGATATCCTTGAGATGGCCGTGAACGACGCAGATGACCATGCAGATGAGGAAGAGCCTCGAGCGATAGAAACACGTAACATGCTGTGCTTGCTCCGCAACAAGGTCGAATGCAGCGGTGGCGACCAACGGCTCATGCAATGTGTTGAGCAACTGGAGAACGCCTTTCTCGGACCGAACGCTAAAGCGAAACAGGCGAGCATCACGCAATTTTTTGGTCCTCGGTAATAAATTTTTTTCCCCTCCGAATTCTTGTGCCTTTACTACGGTAGCTGTTTTGTGCAGTGGAGCTTTTCCTAGCAGCACTGGCTTTTCTTTTACAGTGACCTGGGCGAACATTTTCGGCGTTTTGCTTAACTCGAAATACCGCCTATCTCGAAATTTTCCCCGGATTTGATGGCTTCGAGTTAACGAGGGATTACTGTACCTGCGTGGGCGGCGGGTTCTTGAGGATGAAGGTATTCAGCTTGTGGGCCCCGTCCAGGGTGCCTGAATGTCCGCAGGCGCGGCACTTGGTGGTGATGACACCCTTGCGCTGCAGGACACCCAGTACGGTCTCCGGGTTGTCGCACGAGGCACACAGGACGTAGCGGCGGATGAACCCGTCTAGGATGTCCTGCAGCTTCGCCGCCTCATGGGCGCCGTTGACAATGTAGCGGTCATTCTTTGCGTCCAGCTGGGTCTGGGCGCCCAGCTCGCACCCAAAGTACTTGGTCGGGTAGGTGGGTGGCCGGTTCAGTGCCTTGGCCACCTCTGACATGTTGACCAGCACCGTCTTGATGCCGTTGCCCTTGCCCTCCACCTGTCGGAGGGTAGTTAACAGCATGATGCACCTACCCGGTATGCGAAATCTATACAATTTAGAACATTACATCCTGATCACTGGCATCTGAACCTAATCAATACAACATGCAAAAAAAGGCCACTTATCTGTGTACTTCAATTACGAAATCCTATCTAAGCTTTTAAAGAAAAAGAATCAACTGTGGCCTTTCATCTTTTCGAATTAGTTTTTACGAACACTGCTAAATTATTCTTTTCATTCTGTCTTTTAGAAGTGGCAAAGTAATCACACCAACAGGGATGCACTTTGATTACCTGTATTTTTGGAGAACATAGGTTAAATGGATTGTTATAGCTAGAGCTCCACGTTGCTGGAGTTTATTTTTCTTTAAATTCGGAGCGTGTTTTCCGGAGTTCATTCTTTGCAAATCTCATTTTTTGAAAGAAGGTGTTTAATTTTGCCTTAGAGCTTGCTGCAATGTCTTCAAATTAATTTTATTTATAACAAAAAATGCATTGCCTTGTAACTGATAATCTAGTTTGTTTTTTTTCATATTCTGATTTTTTTTTGTCCCCTCCTGTTCGTTTACCGTTACTCCTGTTGACTTGCCGCTGATGGAGGTTACCACTTTTGATTGAAGATTGTCAGCTTTGAAAATGCTCTTCGAATGCTGAAAATTTTAAACTTAGAGCTCATTTGATGAATCGGAATTGTCCAAAATTTTACTGGCGAGTATTTATCAGGTTTATCCGAAAACACTGAGCATGGCAAGTCCGAATTGTGGAAAATTTCACTGGTGAGTGTTTATTGAATTGATCAGGAAACACGGAGCCCTAGTTACAGGTAACTATGCTTGTTGTGCCTTTCGGAACGAACTTTCTTGTTTCTGGTTAGATCTTGATAGATCTTGATGAAGATTGGCACAGAGACCAAGAATGACCTCATAATGCTTCCATAAAAATTTCAAGATGATATGAAAACTTTCTGAGAAATAAATAATTTCATTACTGGACCTCGTGGAGCGGCTGGAGAGTTTAAAAAATGACATAGAAAGTTGGTAAACACTGTGGGCAGAGGTGAATGTATGCTGTAGGGGGCTGCGTTTTCAAAATAATTTTTTTGCAACACTAAAATTTTTAGTTCAAGTTTTCTCCACTGATACTTCAATGAGCACATTTGCACAACAAACAAGAACATCTACCAAAAATTTTTGAAAGGCTAAATTTTAAAAATAAGAACGCAGCCCCCTGAAGCACAGTTCAAGGAGCATTACAAAAAAAAAAACAATTAAAATCTGTCAAGTAGTTGCAAAGATGTCTGCTCCACGAGCATGAGCAACATGCCAAAAAAACAGTATTGAGAAAACGAGGTTCAAAGTCTTGAGTCACGGTTTACATGCCTAATAGGCACCAGGATGAATGGAAGGAAGCACATGTTTGCCAGAAAAACACAGAGGCAAACTCGAGCCTTAGTGTCCTTACATGTCAACATGTAAGGACACTAAGGTGTAGTCCTTAGTGTCCTTTGCAGTGCGGCGTCGCTTGGCCATCTGACCTTTAGCCTGATGAGCTTTCGCAGCCTTTTTTTTTCCGCTTGGCATCTTTTTCGGCTGCTCTACGAAGTGCATGGCGTCCAGGTTGGAGACCAAGAGATGTGCAAAGTTGGGTGTAGGCATGGAGGTTCCCAGCATTATACCTACAGATTGCTTCACTGACAGCAGTTTCTGCGGCTATCAATGAAGCATGCTCTTCTTTGGGCAGAATTGACCAAATAATTGAGTGCAGGCTTTTGGCAGCATTTTGAGTTTTTTTGCCCTGGCACCGCACAAGAAGCTGTGGGTCCGAAAGTCGCTGGTACACAGGCAGTAGGGCAGCAGCAACGTGTCGTCCCAGGTGGTACTTATGGGGTGGCTGCGGTTCACCTTTAGCTTCTGCAGCCCGGTGTCTGCACCAGCTATCAGGACCTGGTGGGCAAAGTTCGTGGTGTTGATCCTGGTCAGTCAAAGTGGTGTGGTAGAATGTAGTTATGACCGCTCGCTGCATATCCTCCACTTCAGCATGCTGCCTAAGGGCTTGGCCATAATAGTCAGTTGCTTGATCAAATTTTGTGTAAGGCCACCTTTTCCGCCGATAGGTTGGTCTTTCTTGCTCTTTGTGACGATGGCCCGCAGGGCTGTGCCCATCCTCTTTTTAACATGATTGATACAATCTCCTTTCTTCAGGGGTGTAAAACCGTAAGTCTGGTCCTGACACAGAGCTAGGAAAGTGCGGCTGTCGCCATCGCAAACGATGGTTGTGTAGCGCAGGTCATTTTTCTTTAGTGAGCGCCGAAACAGTACGAGGGCCGCTTCGACTTCCATTTGGCTCGAGTTTGCCTCTGTGTTTTTCTGGCAAACATGCGCTTCCTTCCATTCACTATAGCCGTCGTCGCCTTCTTTGGGGCCCACAGCACATTCTTGACAGTAATTGGACAGGACAACACTGTCAAGCACTAATCCAGTGTAGAATTCAATGACCGTGCCCACGCCAATGTGCGACGCGTGGCCGCGTGTCATCCACGTCCCGTCGTACACCACCGTGACATTCTTGGTGGGTGTTCCCTCCATTTGGCTGTACACATTGCGAACGGCTGCAACAGCGTCGCAAAACACACGTGCCGCGGCTGCTGCGCCAGCAGGCCGAAATTCCCCCTTGAGATGCCTTTGAAAAGTCTTGTGGTGAATTCCCCTATGTGATACAGTCATCACAGACCAAAAATCACTGAGTGCAGCTGATCCCTTTCCAATAGTTTTTATAGCTTGCATGGCCCGAATATTTACTTCAAATGACTTGCTGTTTTCCATTCGCGGCGACGACCACGCATTTTTCGCGTCCGCGTCGCAAACAGTGCAGGTGAGCACCATCTTTACCGCTAACCCGTGCTTAGTTCCGTGCTTCATCTTGAGTCCCGGCTCTTTGCACTGCGGGCACAGGGCACTGCCAAACAGACCATTCAGGGCCGCGCGTTGCACGGGGAAAAACTCATCTTCGTCTTCCGTTTCGATGTCCCTCTCGTCCCCTTGGTCCATCAATGACATCTCGCGCTCCGTCGCAGACACTGCTCTTAGGGACTCCTGAACAGCCGCGGCGCGTTCGCGAGATGCCTCCGCTGACACGAAACAAGGCTCTAATCGGGCCCGAATCGTGCTACCGGTGAAGCTGGTAGACGGCCTCGCATCCTCGTGCGAAGTACTTGGCTGAGCACTCGCGATGTCTACATCCTCGCGTGAAGTGCTAGGCTTAGCATCCGCGGCGTCTACATCCTCATGCGAAGTGCTTGGCTGGGCATCCGCGATGAATACATCCTCGCGCGAAATGCTAGGCTTAGCATCCGCGATGTCTGCAGCCTGCGCGGAACGACGAACGGATGTTTCCTCAGACAGCACAAAGCACTGCTCCACAGGCATATGAACAGTTTCGTCGATGCTCGCGGACGATGCTCCGTGCGTGCTTGTGCTCGGCTGCGAGTCCTCGTCGTGCCGCACGCCGTCGTCGCTGCTCGCAGAAGTTGCCAGACTGAATTTCTTTTTCACGATCGGCGACTTCGGCTTACAAGCACCAAATCGCTGCGCAGTCTTGCGTTTCTTCTTGAACGATCGCCGGTCCATGATCGCATGCGGAAACTGATCTCAAAACTGCAATGCGCCAAACTGGATAACAACGTTTTTCTCCTTTCACGAGCGCCGGTCTTATCGCAGCGCAATGCGATCTCGAAACCACGCCGCGACGAGTTGAAAACAAATGCAGTAAGCGGCCCGTCAGCGCGTAGAGCAGACGACATTTGCGCCAATTGCTACAAGCGACCGCACGGGCAACCAATGCGGAGCCGCCGTACAGTCACGTGACGCGCGTCGCCAATCGAAAACTGTTGTGATACCTTTACACTTTGGCTTGCTGTGGGCTTGCTCTTGCCTGGTTCAGCCGGCCGAGGCGGCAAACTTGAAACGGAAGAATCGCGCTATTCATAGAGACAAAGATGGCGGCGCTAGGTTACGTGGTTGCGGAGATATCGCGGTTCGAAAAACGCCGTTTTTTCGCAATTTCCGTGAAATTCATCGCCACCCTAGCTTCGATAAAAATTTTTTACGTCATTTCTACGCTGTTTTCAGGGACGAAACTTAGAAATTAGATAGAAAAGGGGTCACAGAATGTGAAAATGAGATTTTCAGAAAATCGATTTTTTGGCCAAATTCACGATGCCAAAGCCGCGTCCCCCCTTAACTGCATGGCTTTGTCTTGTGGTAGTTTAGCCTCCCCTCGTGCACCAAAATAAAGAGCTTCAAGAATGAACTACATCTTGCTAAAAAATAACAGGTATGGTAACACAGTGTGCACCTGAAGTGAACTGTAACAATGTGCAATCAAGCCACCCAGTCAGACTGAGCTCACACTGACAATCCGAGGCAAATTGCATGTACCCCGTTGCATGCCGACGCCAAACACCCACCTTGGCAATGATCTTGGGCATCTTATAGCGGTAGAACTGGTCCGTCAGGCTGCGATTCACGTTGACGCTCCCCATGGCAACGATTCGTGGAGGATCAAGCAAGTGCTTCTCAACAAACAGCAGAAGCGGGAAACGGGGATGACGCTCGAAGTCTCGGCAACGACACTAATCAACCGACAGCAGTGCGGCCACACCTACCAGTCAGAGAGGGCAGAAGACTGTGGAGAGGAGGTCGACGAAGACACCCACAACAATGACAACAAGAACGGGACTTGCGTTTTGCGAGAGCTAGGGGTCCCAAAGGAGGGCTACTAGGCGGTGATGCCGAGGGTGGGAGGCCGGGGAAACAGGGTTGCACGATTGGGCAGACAGGGTTGCCGTCACACGACGAGTCTGGGATGACTCGCGACCACGCACCGGACGACGGAGGGGAGCACGGCCGACTCTTTGGCACAGAGGCGGCAGTTTGGAAGAGGAAGGGAGACTACACAACAGGACAGAGCTCGGGGGACAAGGTGCCGACGAATGAAGCGAGAAAAAAGAGTGTCGAGAAGAGTGAGAGAGAGAAAAGACAAGTCAGGACTGGAACGGCTGCAATCTTTGGCGGGGTTTATCCGGGGACAGTCTGGAAGAGGTGAGACGAGAAAAAAACAAAAGAAAATTAGAGCTTCCTACCAAAGGGCCTAAGAGCCACCCTTTTTTTGCTAATAACTAATTAGCCTCGATAAGATGATAACTCTAGTAGCCACTAAAAGCTGATGCGAGCACTAGGCAACTACTCACATCAGTGGCTGTGTTTACACGTGACAATTTAAGGGAGGACAAGGGTCTTAAAGTAGCACAAATTTGTAAAAAATGCTGACTTGCAGAAATTGCAATTTGAAGTATTTATAGTCAAAAGTATGTTTAGGAAAAATTTTATATTATGGCAAAATACCACTTGTTCTTGTTAAAAGCTTAATATATGAAATTACAAATGCTTTTTAAACTGGAAACAATTTTCTTGGCATTGTTATTTTTGTGAAGTGAATCTGCCGGCAAGTTTCTGTTAAGATGTCTCAACAAACTTGGTACCATTCTTTTCCACAGCACTTGTACTACAGGCTAATGCTTTTCTTTTTCTCTCAACCTTGATAGAAAAATAAGATAAATACCAGCTAATTACTGGTATTTTGCTTTAGCCTGTGGGATGAACCTTTTAGAGAAAACATGTAGTTTCGATACTAACCTTTTTTTTTATTGAGAGTTACCATAATGACCCGTAACAAAATGCCTAATTATAATCTGAAAAACTGTCATTTTTTTCTAAATGAGGTATTTGAAATCTGTTTGCAGATTCGAAATCTCTATTCAATAGTACACATGCATAGTAATTTTCATGACAGTAGGATTATGAAAAAAATTCTTTAAGCCCCGTCCCCACTAAAGCCGCCAAGGCTTTCTTGAGTAAATGAAGATTCTTTCTTTAAGGGAGCAGACTGATTTTTGGGACCAAAAAGTGACAAAAAAAATATTTTTTTAAAATTGACATATTTGGTATCTGCAAGTATTTTGCTATCTCTCTGCAAATTTTTACACACCAGGAAGTGGTAATTTTTTTTGTAATGTCATTCTAACTGTCCAGATACCTGATGCTGTTAGCATGCAGAAGCTGCAAAAAAATGGGGAACCAACTTCGAGCCTTCTTTATAATTTGCCAGCACCTATGTTAGAAGCTCTGCAACGAATTTATGAGCACTTTTACGAGGATTGCAAAACATGCACACCATGATTGTTGCTTTTTGAAGAAGCCGTATTTTTTCAGTTCTTTCCATTTTTCTCAAAAAAGAAAATTTACAACTGTTCAATTTTGAGGCCTCAATATCTCTGCAGCTAGAGCAGGTACAACAATAATTCTTTTTGCAATAGAAACCTGTATGGGAGTAGGGTGCAAGTATGGGAGCAGAATTTAGAGAACAAGCCTTTTTAATAAATTACTCATCAAAATTTTAACACAGTGCCAACTGCTTTTGAAAATGGATAGTTCATTTTGCTGTAAAATAATAAGAAAGGCTTAAAAACAAAAAACTCTAGCATTATTTCAATCTATAGTCATTAGTCTATGTTAGGGTATATTAAATATTACTTTTAATTAAGCACTTTTTTCCTATGGCGGCCTTAAACAATAGGGGGTGAATTTAAGTTATTATCAGAAATAAGACGAGTTACAGAAAAACTAATTGAACATTTGAAATCGGCAGAAAAAACTGCATAATTCTGTGCAGTTTGATTAAGATCACTGAAGAAATAAACAAAAAATGTCTAAGAGCAGTCTGCCCCCTTAAATATGCAGAACTTCAAGTTGGATAATCCACTAGAGAGACCTCCTTTTAAATAATATAGTGAAAAGTTCAGAAGTAGTTAAAAAGCACCTAGTTCAACCATAAACTCATGTAAACAAGCATGCAAACTCACCTAATTATTCCGTGGTAGGATATGAAGGTTAACTGTTAATTGCATTACAAGGTGTGTTTGTTCTCCTGAAAAAGACCAAAGGTTGTCTATAAAGCATGGTCTCCTGTGTAACAATGCACCACGAAGCTTTAAACCTACAATCAATTTCCATCCTCGCACATATTTTACAATTACGTAGTGACAAGCTCATTTTATTAACTGCAACAGCTCAACTGTGTTGCATTTGCCAAAGTGACTCATATCAAGCATTAGGCAATACCCCCACATGAAATTTTAGTTGTTACAAACCTATATTACATCTTTCATTTGTAATTGCCCCATATCTACTACCCAAGACACACAACTAGATGACAGGAGTGAAATTCGTTGAAAAATGTTTTATGGCAAGCTCGCCACTATTCCAAACACTTAAATAGAGGTTTAATTTCAAAAAGCCATCACAGATGCAGAGCCAGAAGAATCGGGAAAAACGAAGTCAGTACTGAGCCGAACGTTCAGCTCCTGTCTGCAAGGATGTTCTCTATTGCTTATTAAGCTTTTTAAAATTTTAAAGAATTGAAGCTTTGTCAAGCAATTTTTTTCTACACCTATATTGATCAATTTACTGTTCCAAGGGCTTGTGGAAACCAACATGCAATGCAAGGCGCCTATTTCTAGCGTATGGCCCTTTTTCAGATACCTAGTCACCGCCCCCTCCCCTTTTTTTCGAAGCACCGGCATAAAAATCAACCTCCGATATTACTAAGCGGAGTGCGCAAGGCTTATGAATGAATCGACGATCTTACGATCCATGATCACCATCGTGTTTATATACAGTAACAAAAGTTGTTAAAGCCTTATCCTTGGCATTAGCAAAGGCCCAGAAATATGTTGTACACAAATTAAGTTAAAATATACTGCCGTTGAAAATATATATATATATTGCTGCCACAACTTCCTCTTTGACAAAATATTGCTTTTCCATTTACAAGCAAGTGTTGATCTTGTTTTTAGGATCACACACCTGTCCACGCCTGGTTGAAGGAGCAAAAAATAAATTGAGCTGTTTCAGGCACATAAGTGAAACTGTTCGACACAACACAATGTTTCAAGCTTACTTGAAACGCATGTACCCTGCAACTAAATGTGAAATACCTGTCCATAAAGTGCTTTTTAATTTAGCGTATACAGTCGAGCCCTCATATAACGGCCCCACTTAAAACGAACTTTCGGTTAAAACGAACAATATCCGCGTGACCGTCAAAATATACAAGGGTTCAATGGCATAAAATCGCACTTACAACGAACGTCTCCGAGCGCCGCTGATCGGTTACAGCGAACGGAGTCAGCGGTCTGCCGACTTCCCGGGAAACCAATATCGACCACCTATCAGGCATCGGCGAGGTGCCCATACATCCTTATTGTTAAACGCCGATTCTGACTCCGCGCCCCTCTAGTTGCTGCTCTCCCCGACCGTTTTTTGTTACGCACCCCTGCGCCCTTTGTCCCCCCGCTACTCTGAGCACCCTGCATCACCAGATGAGGCCCGTGTTTTCACACTGCCACCGATCTTTGGAAGACCGGTTGGCCACGTACCCTGTTTTTCATCGCTAGTACTGTCGTTAGCGTCACCGGCCTACAGTGACCAGACCATTTGCCAACATTGTCGGCCACTGACTGTATCCGATAGTCTGCGTCTCGTAAACGCGCGTACGCTACCCCACCGACTCTGATAATTTGCAATTCGTTTCGTGTTTAGGACTTGTTCTCGCTCACTTCGCACTCGGCTCAAAATGCCATCCGCGCGCGTGCGGAAGCGTGAAAACGGCTGTTAATTTGTGCGGAATGAATCGTGAAATATCGAAGTTTGTGAGGCCACGCAAACCCGCCAGCGCAACAAAACGATTTTTTGATCACGGCCGCCGATTCTTCGAACGCCGCCATGCACACCGAACCAGGTGGCTATGCTTTGACTTCTGCACGGGCTGGCACTCTTTCCAAGTTTTTCTACGTGCGAGTTTCGCGGACCTTTCAAGCAAGCTTCCCAACCTGCTTCCTTCCCGTGTGTTTTGGTGATGTGTGTTTTGGTTTTCAAGGCCGCCCTCCCGCCGCATCCTCCCCACTCTATCGCACAGAGGAAGGAATCTTTCATTCCTCCGTGCTTTATCGCGACTCCTTGCCCTTTTCTCGCAAGTCTGCTCTCCTTTCTTGACTACAACCCTTTCGCCCGTCTCCACCGCTCCGCGACGCCCGCCACGCTGGCTCGAATTAGTTTTGTTTCCTGACTGGAAACGCGCCCAGAGCTGTTCCACGCGTGTGCGCGTCTTGCTCGCTCTTAGTGTGCATGTGTGGTCATGATGGCCAACGGGAGGACTAGCACGCTTTTTCGCGCCGCTCAACAAATTGTCGAAAGTGTGACCGCTTCGCTTGAGTGTAATCCGCGTGTTAAATGCCGCATTGCGAAGCGCTTGCTCATAGCTGTTGACCACTTGGCGGCCAACTTGCCGCTTCGGGCGTCCCGGTATTCAGCTGTGGAGATAGTGAATATTTCATGGGCGGCGGTGACGGCTACATGCGCGCGAAACTATTTTCGCGAGGCGGACTTCGTCGACCGTCGGGCTTGATGCCGAGCCTGAAGCTTCTGAACAGGACCACTGCGGCGGCGATTTGTGGCAGCGCGTCGACTCCGACCTGGGTGAGCGGGTGGGATATTTGTTGCGATGATTTAATTACGGCCGATGATGATGCTGACACTGCGGAACCGTGCACAGATTGGGGCATTGTGAATGAAGTACGTGGCGAGAGAGATTTGGAGGAATCGGATTGCGAAAACGACGAAGCTTTGGAGCCAGCGCCGCATGCAGCTTATGCCACGGGCCTCGGCGAAGAGCAGCCTGCCGTTCTAAATTAACTCGAGACCGCCCTTATCGTTTCTGCTCTTCGAAACACGTGCATCTAGGACTTTTTTGGGGCAAAAAAAGTGTTTTCACTCGCAACTTTTTTTAAAAGCTGCGTTTCATTTACTATGAACTTCGGGATACAGCGAATGGATGCTGCGTCACGCTCAGGTTCGTTATAAGCGGTCTCGACTGTAGTCTAAGGAGTTTCCCACTTAAGCAGCATGCACCTTTTAACAGTGACAGGCATTGTCTTTCGTAAGGCACAGTTTTCGGTGCTATTTGCTTACATGTTCTCTTCAATCGTTAATGCACCGGAGGATGGTGGAGGGGTTTTGCACTGTTTGTGTGGCTCAGATCTTTCTGTTCTCAAACAAACAAAATTCCCTGACGCATCCCTGTAATAAAATTAGAAAGAAAAAGACGCTACTAGAAGAGAGCTCACCTGTCTTCTCGTTTAGCGTGAAGACGGCCAGTGGTGGTGGTCAGGGTCCCCCGGAAATGCATAAACCTGTCCGGCTCGAGAGTGCAGCTGCTAGGCTCTATCTGTTGCCGGTAGTTTGCTGGATTGCCTCGTCCCAAGAATTCTGCAGAAAAGGGGATGAGAAGCAACTCATCACCGTGGGTAATTATTACCAGTGCACTTGACTTCTGCCACACTTGGTTAATAAAGGCACAAATAAATTCAGAGGGCAAATTTCAACACATTAACTTTTTATTGCATAAAACAATAGAGAAAGAACCATTGGAACAATGTTTCAAATTTTGCTACATCTAGAAAACAATGTGTCAGCTGGCACTTGTTCATTATAATGTCCCCTGTCGCACATGCCTGAGCCACAAACCATGCCAAAGGACTTGCAGGGTCGGCAGAGGAAATCGTGCCTCGAAACAAAGCCTACATCATGTTGCAGGGAGACCCTAACGGCACCAGCAGTGCTCTCTATAATAGGAAAATATTTGAGGTTCTATGTTAAAAAACTGCATGGTTCATCATGAGAAATGCTGTAGTGGAGGCCTCCGGGAATATTGACCACCTGGTGTTTCTTTACGTACACCAACATGACAACGGGCCTCTGGCATTTCACCTCAAATCAAAATGTGACCACTGCGGCCGTGATGGAACCGGCGACCTTTGGGTAAATATGATGAACAAATGAAGTCTGAAGAGAAGAAGCAACATAAAAAGGAGAAGAAACAGAAAACAGCACGAACTCTTGACACCCAGAAGTGGTTCCCACCGTTCCCTTCGACGAGCTTGCACTGGCCTAACAAATCTTTCCTTGACAGTTACAAAAGCAAAGTCTGAATGCGCAATTGACAAATACACACACTAATCTTTCAAGTGATTATGCCACTGGTCTCTGCTCTTCGATGGGCCATTGATCGACAAGCAAAGTGGTTTGTGCAGCAAGCAGTTCCCTTCAATTTTCAAGCCCATACATGCATGAATATATAGCAATACTCCATCTTGGAAGTTCTCTTTAACAGAGTGATGGCTACAGGGCACTTTAGCTAATAAGACGGGCAACTAGCCACTCCACATGCATTTATCTGTGTCACGTTGTTTGCTCAGCTAGCTCAGCGTCTTCTTGATGTCTGCTCGCACGCGTAGAGTGAGTAACGCGGACAGGTGGCATCACCGACCATCAGAGTGCCGATACTCAGACAGCGTTAAGTGCAGACTATACTGCGCTAATTTGAACAATTGTTACCAAATTCTCAGTGTACTGGCTTAGAAGGCATGGCTAAACAAACAGCTGACCTCTCGAATAAAGACAAAATGTACCCGATACTTTGTCCTCACCATGAAATACGAGGCGATGGCTCATTCCACCATTTGTTTGTCGCTACCAGAGCAGAAGTGCAAGTTCAGATGGATGAGGGCGATGACGTCTGCATAGGCGCTGCCATGTTGATTTGCAACTACAGTTACCTCAATGAACAGAACACGACATTGACGCGACATCGCACATGCCAAGTTAAGCACGAATGCTTCAACTCTGCCGATTCTAAGGTAACTGTCAGAAACTATGTTTTGCTGCGCAAATGTGTGCTTAGTTTACGCTCCTTAGCTTTCATAGAGCTGAACGGCAGTGGCGAGATAGAGTATAGTCTTGTTCCTACCATGATACACCTCCACACCACGCATAAGATACGGTACCTGTGAAAACACCCGAAAAGAAAGTTTCTTCCACAATTTGATTTCCTATTACATGCCGCAAATAACGAACCTGTTATTGCGTTGACCAGGGCAAGTCCTTTTCTTGTCGTGCGTGTTACGAGCCACGCAACACTAAACTGAGGCCTGGGCGTCCCCGTTGTCTGCAGGGCTTTGGCTACGAGAGCGGCTGTACTACCTGTCTGCAATGCCGATCCACCTTATGCAGAAGCAGTTTCACATGTCCTTGCACGGTTTGAACGAAGAACCAAGACGAGACTCTGTACCAAGCCATCCACAATGGTACACACGATACACGGTATATGTATGGGACAGGTACAATGTTTCCTCTTTGCTCACATCTCACAATGAAGTCAGCCCCCATTGTTGTAACGAGAGAAACCTCTCCGCAATACCACATCCCTCTGCATTCCACCGCGGCATCACCTGTATTTCTAGCACAAAGCCCTTCCTGCATTTCGGCCTGGCATTGTTGAAAGGTCCACAAAATGAAAAAGCTCAAATTAATTGGGAGTTAGGTGTAAATCTGTTGAAAGCAACGAGTATCCCTACTTGATTACGGTGATGATGTGTAGTTTGCCTCGTGCAAATACGTTCGAAATTCATTTAGAGCATGGAAATAAAAGCAGTTTGGAAGCATCCGACAAGGATGCAGACTGCGCCTTTTCACTGACAGAACAATAGCTGAACACACCGAATACTATATTTTCTAGACACCTACTAAATTGCCATGAAGGCAATAGGTGGTGGTGTGAATGAAGAAACAAACACAGAAAGATTTTGCAAGTATCTAACACTCATAAAAAGCACCGTATTCTTACTTCATGAACATGCAAGTAAGGCTAAACAAACTAAGACAGCAGGTGGCAGTGGTATCGGCAGCTATGTCCAGCAATGAACTTGTACGTAACATATCAGAAGAATTAGCTTTCACATAATAGCTGTGAAGACGTGGAAGCTGTGTAATTTTAAATTGCGACACCAAATTGTTTCAGTGCAATTTGGAATGCTAGTGAGGTACAATGAAGTTGAATCATTAGCGTGACATATCTTATGCTAATCACCGGGGTGGAACAGGTGCCCGAGTGTGGGAACCGCCCAGGGAGCAGGTAAAAGTTCCTTTTGTAGCACGCTTGGAGCATTCAGACATTTTGGAGCAGGTTTGGAGCAGTCAGAGAAAATGTTTAGAGGAGATGTCACTCCTTTTCACAGTACACATGAAACAGCATTTGTCCATTGTTTTATTTTTTAAACACTAAGCTAAATTATGCTATTAGCGATTCGGGCATGCCCGCAAGTTTTTTTTTTCTGTTGCCATTGCTATCATGTGTATAAATTCCGAATCGATACCATGCCTCCGCACATCGCATGTCCTACATGTGATAAATGCGCAGGAGTGGGGGTGCTGAACCCGGCTGAAGCAGACAGATAACGAGCCTGCACATCTCTGTAGCTCAGAGGGCACACTGAATAACCACATCACTCTTCATGCTTGCCGTCGAAGTCAATAGGTAACACCCTGCCTGTCTTAAACAAGCTTGAAAAGACGCAAAGGGAGGTGGGCGGCTCTTGCATATATTTGTGCACCGATTAATAGAAGCTATAACTTTTATAGTATAATCCGCTGGTTTTAGAACTCAAACTGTTCCATGTGTCTTTCTGGGAGCAAGTTTTTTTCCTAAAAAGAATGAGCTACGGTGTCAATCAGCACATCGCACAAAACAAGTATCAGAACTGTTTGTACAGCAAAAGAAAAAAAGGTTATTCCAAACAAATTAGAACAAAATTTATGTAGAGCGTTTACGAGAAGTACCAGCCTGAAACTGACCCTCTTGCAAATGTTCAATATCCTGTAACTTTTTTTGTCAGATGGGTTTAGAAACATCTTTCTCTTGTTGAAATGCACACAATTCTGGCTCCAGATTACTGTGATATGCTCATTTAGTCTGTAACTCTCTTGGTAAAAAAAACTTGCCCCTGAAAAGGCACACGAAATAGCCTGCTTTTATAACTTCCCTTCATACTAGAAAATTAATTGTATTTGCAATTGGCAAACAAATATACATAAGCTCAACAAGTTTCATCAAAATCGATCAAGAAATGAAACATCTTTTTTCAAAGAGCATGTCCTCGTTTAAAGGGACACTTCAAGCACTGTGCTTGAAAGCATTATCTAGTTGGATGAAAATAGGAGAGATTACGTATAGTTCTGAACTGATTTCAAATGTGCAACTACTTACCTAGTACAGCATGGGTATATATATCTAGTACAGCGTGGGTCTATACAACATGGGTACAGCATAATATATTTAAAATATACAGTTATTTTAGACTAAGCGACGTACAAAGTGAACCACAATACCAGAATATTCTAGAATGAGAACCGATTGAAAGAAAAGAATAAAAGTATTTAGAAAATTAGGTGTGTTTATTAATTACTCCTGTAAACATAACTTTCAGTGTGATATAGTGTGTGTGCGCTGACAGGTGACTGACTGCCACGGCATCACATGAGGTGCGCACAAAAACTGCATGCACATAAACTTACTACATGGAAACAGGGACCTACCCAGCCTGCGTGGTCTAGTGGCAAAGGTATTCTGCTTTTGACCTGCAGGTCGAGGGATCGAATCCCGGCTGCGGCAGTTGCATTTTTGAGGGAGGCGAAAATGCTGTAGGCCTGTGTGCTCAGATTAGAGTGTACATTGAAGAACTCCGGGTGGTCAATATTTCCGGGAACCCTCTACTGCGGCGTCTGTCATAATCAAATGGTGGTGTTGGGACAAAACCAACATATCAATCAATCAAACAGGGACTTACTGGAAAGGCATATGGATGAATAATGGGTAGTACTGTTGGCAGGAGAACCTGTTCTGTGAAGGGTTCCAGACCACTGTTTGAAAGGTTTGAACTCTAGAACAGGATGAATTTTCTTGAGGAGACGGGGAAGCCTTCGTGCTCAGAAGCCCGCATGGGGTTGAATTGTATATTCACACTGTAGACCGGTAGATTGCATTTACTTTGAAGACGCCACGATGCAAGCTGTGCTCGCAAAGTACAAAAGTGAAATTGTTCCCCTACTTTTTGTAAACATTGCTTTATTAAAGCCAACAGCGCATGCTAATGATATTGTGGCAAGAACTTATATTACCCCTCGCCTTTTCTGTCCTGTATTACCGTGGAGGTTGAGATTTTCAGCCACCTTTTTGCCTTTCTGCTTCCTGTCCCTGGTAATGTCGTACACAATCAGCACACAAATGCACAAAAACCCGTTAACCTTATGTTTCAAAATTTGGGGTAGACCACATCCAAAATGCTGATGGTAGAAGTGGACAGGCAAGAGCTTAGTAATGTGTACTTTTAAATTTACTATGAAGCAATGAAAAATTGGAAAAGGGAAAACATTTATGCCCCTCATTTACTCCTAAAAACTGGTTTGTCTATTGTACAGAAACATTATCTGGAGCTCGGAACAATTGTCTTTAACACCTAACCTATGCTACGGGCATGACAACATGCCCAGGGTCTCATTGAAAGTTTCCCTAATTTAATAATGTTATACCACTGCCATGCTATATCCAGGCATCTGTAACAGCTGTGCCTATAAAATTGGGCCAGATCATATACATATTCCGAAAAGTCTTCCTTCATGTGTTCACCATTGTATTTACTGCTCAAAGCTATGTTTCTTCAAAGAAGAGCAATATTTCATAGCCGCCAGCTTCAAAAGAATAACAGCCTCGACTGACAATAAAAAAAAAAAAAAACCACCACACTGCAGAGGCACCCACTCAACTATACATCAAGCATGAAAAACCCCCGTGTATGACTAACAGACAGTGGAACGAAAGGCCATTAAAGAATGCGGGCACATCTGTGTGGGGGAAAACCTGCACAGCTGGAGGCCTTTCTGAAATGTCGCCAGTCTTTGAAACCTCACCAGACACTGACACTGAAAAGAAAAAAGGTCGCTATAAAGAAGGTCGTGAACACTCTTAGGGCAATGAGTGGATAATGACTGCTTTATGATTAAAAAAATTACAACAGTGGAAAAAACAGAGAAGGGACAAGATGGAGACAGACTAAGTGCTGGCCCACCTGCCTTGTACCATCAATTGTGCAGCCCCTTCTAATTTTCTTCGCATGTGTACACACTGCAGTAAAAATTTAAAACAGATACTCAACTGAAATATGAAAAAAAAAAGGGTGATGAAACATTGGAATTCTACTCTGAAGAAGCTACTGGTCTGATTAACAGTTCATGTGTTTTCAAATGATTGCCTGTATTTTCAGTGGACAGTCAGCACACAGCAACCACAGGCGAATGCAAATAGCAATGCCACATTTTGCGAGGCCCATGCACAGTGCACATGCCCTTAGGGTGCGATAGTGTCCACATTTCTCGCTGTCAACTCAGGCTTTAAAAGTTTGCCTGGAGATTAACAAAGAGCATGTCCTCTTCCCAGTTCTCTACATTCTGCCTGAAATGAAGGTTGCGTCTATAGATTTCAGCACCGAATCTTTCGACCTGGCCAAAAATTTTGCTCTATATTACTTGAACGTGGACTTGAAAAGCAAAACTCTGCTGTGATAACGCGCAACACTTATCTAGCTTGCAAAAACTATACTAGAGGCTGCAACATTTATTTGGAGGTCATGTCTCCAGAAAAAGAGAATGTAGCCTCGCTAACTTCTGCTGCGAGGAGTACAAACTGGCCCAAGTGAGAACAGCACTGCATTATGGTTCATTTATGATTTAAGATATCAGTTCTTGTCACAGCTACTCTACTACAGAAGGCAAGATTTAGAGAGCTTTTTTTAAGTAAGGAAATCGGTATTTGTGGAAGTAAAACAGAGACAAGAACGTATTGTTCAAGCTTGAGAGAGAGATGAATGAGTGCATTCCCAGTGAGTACATAAATGGTAGCCAAGGAGAAACGTTTCATCCATTATCAACAGTGTTCTTCAGCACTCCCTGAACAACATTAGAAGTTGGAATGGTAAGAAGAGTACGTGGGGATTTATGTGCCAAAAGTGTATATGATTATGAGGGATGCCATATAAAGGCTTTGAAAATTTCGACGATCTGTTCTGTAATGTCCACTGACATCACACAGTACACGAGCCTGTACCATTTCTTTGTGACACAAAAAGTGATTGCTGCAGTCAAAATCGACCCCGTGGTGGACAATTGGTAGATAATAAGCTGACAGACATTTACAACATGTTGCAATGAAGAATTCTGCGGACAAAAAATAAAGATAACACAATGAGCCTCGATTAAATCACTGTTGTAAGATTTTTCGTGTACAAGAAAGAAAAAAAGCTGTGTTGCTTAGACTGTAATGTCGCTGCAAGTGTGGCAGCTCGGGCTAGTTATGGCGTGTCTTTCGTGTCCATCTTGTCTCTGTGTTGTCGTTTGGTTCTCTAGCTATAACTATCGTTGCTGCAAGATTTTGCTACTAGCTTGCCTGGTATCCCACTAAGCCATTTACTGAATTTCACTTGTGTATATGAAGCTATAGATAACATAACTGCAAATGTTAGCACTCCCACCCCTAAAGAATAGGGCGAGATCGAAAAAAAAAAAAAAAAAGCTGCATACAACTCGAGGCACTGGGGTGGTTGTTCATGCCACAGCGAACAAAAGTATCCAGATAAGATAATGCAGTCAAAATACCCAAACAATAGTTACTATGTCTACAGAAAAGAAAGGCCACAAAAAAAAAAAAAAGATCTGAATATCAAGGCAACAGCGGTGGTCTATCTGAAACTTAGATAGAATGGATAGGAGTGCCGTGGCACTCGGTCAAGTGTTATTTAAATTGACGAGTTTAAGGTTAAACGCGGTTCCACAGGCGGGGCTGCAATCAAGGTCTCGCATTTGCTTTGTCTTCATTACTATTGAAAAAAACAACAAAATTTATTTAGCGGGGAGAGAAGTCCCGCAGAACACGCAATGGTGAATCGAGCTGGCTGAATTAGAATCCCGACATTATGAACTACAGCCTTGTTTTCAAAAACAGGGCGGCTTGATTTCGGTTCGGCTGTTGTTGGGGGTGCACTTCACGCGTAAACCAGTCACGCAAACCGCAGAAGAAAACAGAAAAATTGGAGTAGAGAACTTGGATCTGTAATGGAGTCGATTACGATCGAAAAATAGCAGTTTAACAGCAGTATGCTTCCACTTGCTGTTTGTATTTTGTTGTAAGCAAGACCTAAGTCACCAAAGCAGTCGCGCACCCAGTCAGCGTTAACCACCGTTTAGTGTACTTTACAAACGACACTCGATTCACTTTTGAAACTGAGCTACACGTTCACACCCGGTACAGATAACGACAATGTAAACGCGATCAAGGGAGTTTTCGTAATCCTGCTATATTTCACAAGCAATGTGCAAGTTCCCGCAAAAACGCTAGCAGTTTCGCTTTACTACTCAAGCTATGGCAAAACTTGCTTACGACATTAAAATCACTGCGAAGGCGAGAGAGCGAAAAATGAAAACGAAAGAAACGAAACTAGGCGCCAGCTCGAAGTCGGGGAGAACGAAAAACAGCTCCAATAAACGTGCCAGCGCAGCCGATGAGGGACTGATTAAAATGCGAGGCCGCTACCCGCCCCCCTCCACTGCTAACAGAAAACGAAGCGTCTGCGCAGGACAGCTGTGGACAAGAACTAATCGGCGAGAGAGAAAATAATAAAAACCACGGGAGGGCCACGTCGCGAGCGGCCCGTTTCTAAACAAGCCTCTCCACGGCATTTTTGTCGTATTTTTTTTTTTCTTTTTGGAGTCGCGGATGGCGGCGCTCGCGTATGACAGCGGTGATTCCGAAGAAACGTCTCCGCGGTGGAAAGCTAACACAAAACGTCGGTTTACGCTTCCCAACTCGCGGTTTTCAAGGAAATCTATCACGTTTATTCCCCCCGTTTCACCTTCCACGGCCGCAATCAACCCAACACCACGATCGCAGAGCACCATAGTGCCGCAGACGCTTCGAGAACGACAAAAAAAAAAATAAAACAAAAAAGCGGCCGTGCAGCAGCTAACTGCCGTGGTCACATGTTAGGCCTACGGCCTTCCGTGCAGGCGCTCGAGAAGCCCTAAAACTTGCATGCCGCGAGTCTGAAAAAGGGTATGCTTGCCTCCGCACCCAGAGAGGATACCGAACCCCGGCTTTCGACACCCGCGGGTTCTCGCTCTAGAAAACCGGGTTCAGAACCCGCAGCAGTCAGTTCATCTGAGACCCGAATCGCGCGCACTGGCGCACGGTCCGCGGATTGTCACGGAAGAAGTCGGCTGTCGGGCACTGTGCTAAGCTGCCGGCTAGTCCACCGCTGCGCTCCGGCATCGCCGGGCGTAAACGTGGTTCGCGTAAGTGAAAGCCACAGCGGGATCCTAGGCCTAACGTATGTCGCGTACTTACACACGTACGAAAAAAATGAGCTCGACTATGTCATTGAAGAATACGATAGGGGGGGAGGGGGGGGGGGGGACATCGAAAAAACAGCCGCGCCTCGAAGAGAAGAGCTCAGCTGTTCATGATCGCCACGTATCCTGCTAGACTGACATTTTACTTTTTCTCCTTAGCGAACCTCTTAATAAGTCGCGCTGACGTATCGCTCCTCTCAGCTGTTAACATCGCCAAACGTGGCAGATGCCCTGCTAAAAGTGGAGGGTGGGATGCGCTGGGAAATCGTGGTAAAAAGAAGAAAAGCATTTCACTCACCGATCCACCAAAATAAAGACGTCATATAAAACTGTTGACCACTGCTGTTGCGCGCTGAGAAACACGGTCGGCGTCGTTCAATCTCCGGAGAAATGGTGGCAAACTGAGGTGGAACACTTCCACCGACGTCTTCTTGTGGGCACCCAGAAAGAAAGAAAAAAAAAAGGAAGGAGAGCTACGTGAAAAACGACGTTAGACACACTACGCTTCACAATAAGGCTCTAAAGCTGATGAAATAATAAATCGCAGGCATGCCCTCCCGTTCTTAAAAGGAGGGTCTTTGCGTTTTAGAGGCACACATAAGACACACATACACGGCCTCACAGTCTTGCGAAGCTGCACCCAAAAAAACGGCACCGCACGAGATGGCTCGGTCGGTTTGCTTGGCAGCGTCCGCGGTACGGCGAGCAAGTTGGTCGTAGGTAATATGAGAGGCTACACGGCTCTGAAGGCGAAAAACGCGGTCACTTACCCGAGTACTGCAAGTCCGCGGTGCAGCAACGAGCGACCAACGACGCATCTGCAATGAAGCTCACCACCACGGTTCCCGGATGTGGCTCGTTTCGCCGACGGATGGACGGATAGATGTGGCTGTACAACTGGTAGGTGTTTGTGGCTGTACCCTTTACATTGGGCGGCGGCTAACGCCACCTAGCCGTAATACTTAATAAAGTAATCATTAGATTTATCTTTTTTTTTTGTCTTTAAATAGAGAGGTTGAGGATTCGTACTTTGCAGTGAAGGGTTTAATTTTCACTCGTGCCTTGACTTTAGCCCCCAATCAGATAACCTCCTTCTATTTAAGTCTACCCGCTTAAAGTCTATTTTGCCCTTCCTGTCCCTAAACCCCAGTGCTTTGAAAAACTCTGCGCCATCATCAAGAACTCTAGAGTGAAGCACTTGACAGAACATTATCAAATGTTCGGCAGTTTCTTCTTCCTCTCCACACGCACTGCATACTGTGTCTACCCCTTCGTATTTGGCCCGATATGTCTTGGTTCGCAATACTCCCGTCCTGGCCTCAAACAGTAGAGAGCTACCCCGAGTATTATCATAGATCCTTTCCTTGGCAATTTCCTGCTTAAAAGTTCGATAGATGTCTAGTGCGGACTTCTTAATTATGCCAATTCCCCACATGTCAGTCTCTGTTTCCTTCACTTTCTTCTTAACCAATAGTTCTTTTTGGTTTGGCCACCTGCTCTTTTCTAAGAATTTACCAGTCAATTTCCTGGTTCGCTTCCTCCATTTTGTATCGACATTCTTCATGTACAAGTAGCTGAAAACCTTCCTAGCCCAACTCTCCTCCCCGATTTCTCTCAATCGCTTCTCAAATTTCATCTTGCTGCTAGCTTCCCTGCCCTCAAATGATGTCCATCCCATATCATCTTGTACTCCCTGATTTGGTGTATTCCCGTCAGCTCCTAAAGCAAGCCTACCTATTCCACGTTGCTTAATTTCTATTCTTGCTTGAACTTCTGATCTCATGCACAAGACCGCATTGCCGAACGTCAGCCCAGGAACCATGACCCCTTTCCATATTCCTCTCACAACATCATACCTATTGTAATTCCACAGTGCCCTATTTTTCATCACTGCTGCGTTCCTGTTACCTTTAGTCGTCCCGTATATTTCGTGTTCCCTTAGGTACTCGGTCCCATTGCTTATCCATACGCCCAGATATTTGTATTTATCTGTTATCTCTAGCGTGACCTCCCGTACGTATTCTAAGCTCACTACCTTCGTTATCAAAAATCATGACTGCTGATTTTTCCTTACTGAATCGAAAATCTCACCTATCTCCCTCACTACCGCAGATGTCCATCAATCTCTGCAAATCTTCCTTGTTGTCGGCCAATAGCACTATATCATCTGCGTACATTAATTAATGCTGGTAGTGCCTGATCAATAAGCTTTTCTTGTTTGACTAAAGAGAGGTTGAAGCCAAGTCCACTTCCCTCTAATTTGGCCTCTAATCCTTGAAGGTACATCATGAATATTAAGGGTGACAGTGGACACCCCTGCCAAGTCCTCGTTTCACCTCTGTGGACTTGGATACCTGTTTTTCCCACTTTATAACTACCTCGTTACTTTTATAGATTTCCTTCGAAAGATTAGTGACTCCATCTTCCACACCCAGTGTGTCTAGTATTCCCCAAAAGTCCTCTTAGACCACGCTATCGTATGCTCCCTTAATATCCAAAAATGCTAGCCACAGGGGCCCGAGTTCCCTTTCTGCTATTTCGATGCACTGCATCAGTGAGAACAGATTGTCTTCCAACCTCCTGTGTTTCTGAAACACATTCAGCAGTTCCCCCAGCACCACCTCATCCTCTATCCATGCCTGCAGTCTTTCCTTTATAATCTGCATCGCCAGCCTGTAGACAACTGATGTCACTGTTATAGGACGGTAGTTATTTATGTCATCTTTGTCCTCCTTTCTTTTATAGATCATGCTCATGCATCCTGCTAAGTTTCCATCCATCAGGGACTTCACCATCGACTATTGTTCTGCTCACTGCTTAATTCTCTTAAAGATTGTTTAGACTTCGGAAGCAATGTCTTTATCAGCATAATTGGAATGCCATCTGGGTCTGCTAGATGTACTACTTGGAACCTTCCTCTCAGCCATTTCCCACTCTCGTTGTGAAAATGGAGCCATTGTGCCACTTGATCCATCTCTGTCCATTGTGGTGCATAAGGCACTTCTTTATTGAAATTTTTCTGTCACCCTTGTTCTTATATATTGAATAGGTTCGTCCCCTTCTAGCCTATAGCACCTTGAGCTGTAGTTATAAACCTCTGCTGTAGGTTTGTTTCATTTCTTATGGAGTTTAGATGCTTCCAAAATTTCGCAGCTGCCTTTCTGACCTCTTTATGTACTTCTGCCAGCCACTGAGCACCCTTTCTTCTAATCTTTTCATTCATCAGGAGGGATGCTTCCCTTCTACAGCTTAGTAAGATTTCCCATTTTCTTTCAACATCATCTGTTTGTTCACCCCGCTGCTTAGCATGTCTGTGTTCCCTAGAGGCTTCCTTACGTTTTGCTATGGCTCTCTTAACTTCCTCATCCCACCAACTCTTGGGCTTTTGTGTTCTTTTCCGGGGTGACTTGTCACGTGCCTTAGCAAGCTCTAGCCCAAACAGTCTGATTAGATTTGTGCATGCCCACACAGTTTTATTATCCTCAGTGATTACTTTCTCAATTTGTTTAGTAGCAATTTCTATTTGCCTTTCTGAATGAAAATTTTCCTGTAGTTGCTCATCTTGTCTTCTTCCCACATTCGCTGCTCCTCCAAAACTTAACTTGATAGGTTTGTGATCACTACCCAGACATCTGGAGGCACCTTCTTCTATGTGCATTCCCCTGAGCCTATCATACCGACAAAAATAAAGACAAGCGCGCACAGTGCACAGAAAAGAAATTATTTTACTCGCAACTTGAATCTAAGTTGCTAAATAAGTTCATCATTTATCGTATTTATTTGAATGCAGATTTTTTAACAGCGCAAAATGTTTACAAACTTGATGTTATTAATATTGATAATATATAAAAACTGAGCAAACCTATAACATTATTTGTTTTTGTCAAATGAGAAGAAAAAATTATCTCTAAAAAGAATAGTTCTCAAGTTACTGCACAAATAAATTGAAGAGTAATATTTGACGTGGTATGAGTTACTAGCCTTGAAGGTGATGTTTTCGTGTGTTACAGTTAAACTTGACGTCATAGACGCCATTTTTAAAATTAAAAAACAGTAACGTTCAACGGTAACACCAGTAACATAATGCATTCTGGCAACCATGTCTTATCAGAAGCAGAAGACTCGCGACAACATGGCGAGCGTGTCATCGTGCGCGTGTCTCTCGTGCAAAGTAGTGTTCGCGAACGCGGAGTTACACCGCTCGCACTACAAAAGTGACTGGCACCGGTACAACTTAAAGCGTAAGGTCGCATTTTTGCCACCCGTCAGCGCCGAGGAGTTCCAGCAGCGGGTGCTAGCGCACCGGGAAGCCAGCGTCGCCGCCGAGACCTGCGCTGCCGGCACCTACTGCGACGTGTGCGGCAAGCGTTTCGGAACCCCCAAGGCCTTCGAGAATCACGTCAACTCCAAGAAGCACCAGCAGGCCCTGGTCATGGCACAGTCCGGCAATCCGGAGGAGTCTGGTGCAACGTCGTCGTGCGAAGTTATTGCTGTAAGCTTACCTCTATCGTCGTGCTTATTGTGCTCTGAGCGCCCGCCACAGTGGCTTGGCGGCATCGTGTTTAAAAGCTCGAGGGTGTGGGTTCGACTCGCGGCTGCCACATTACGACGGAGGCGAAATGCAGGAACAACCCCGGACTGTGGAAAATAATCCAGAGTTGTGCTATTACAACGTGCCTCAATCATGCCGTCGATTTCGCACTTCATATCTTTGACTTAAGTAGTGTCTATTGCTGGGCACAATATGTCAGTCAACCGAATGCCGGCAGTTCTTTTCTTTAAGGGGGTTGCAAGTAACGGGGCTACATTAGGTTATGACCAGGCTCGCCCGCTTATTCGTCCCGCAAATGAATTCTCTGTGCGAGCCTCGAGTAATGAAGACAGTTTCGCCTATTAGCGACAATTTCCAGAACATGAGGTGCCTCCGAATAGCGTAACTGCATTACTTGCACGATTTATGTCTCTGCTTCCTCGTGCCGCCGTGCTTACGCTTGCTACGGCGTCAGGCCATATTCACAACGTCGTTGCGCCTTCTTGCGCAACACTTACAGGACGCGCGCAGCGTTTGCGTTGTTTGGCCTTGTTTCGGCGGGGGAACTACACGAATGTTCGATAGGTTGCAGCAAACCCTACCTGCGCTGCTTTATATTGCCGCATTCAACCTGCAGAGAAGAGCTCGCGCAGCAAGAAGGGAAGACGAAGCTCTTGCCCCAACCTCTTTACGAGCGCCTTGCGTGTAATTACAGTGAGCTCTCCTATATCTGACTTCTGCTGTGTCTGCGTCGTGACACTGGTGGAGGAGCTAGGTATATGTCCAGGACACCTTCAAACAGCCCGGGATATAGTCCACAAAGACTTGCGCTCGTCAAAACACCCGTTCACCGGCGCCAGCCGCTGCCTGTTAGGCCTGAGCCCAGAGTTCGGTCCATGGCCAGAAAACATGACCGTGCCTGAAAGCAGTAGCCCCGCCATGACCAGCCCAAGCACGACACAGGTGACTGTTTTCACCCCTAAAATTCCTGTGGATTTTCACGACAACACATATGAGGACACAGATGACTGGCTTGAGGAGTTTGAGCGCACATCCAATGTTAACGGGTGGAACGCCGCACAGAAGTTGGGGTACGTGTATTTCCCTCTTCAGGACGGGGCTCGCACATGGTTCACGAATCGAGCGTGGTCAACGTGGGACGAGTTCCGGCGGAAGTTCCTGGACACCTTCGCAAACACCGAAAGGAGGGAGCATGCGCAAAGACTTTTGAATCATGAATTCAAAAGCCAAACGAATCTGTGGCTGTGTTTGTTGAGGACATGGCTCAACTCTTCCATCGAGCCGATCTTGATATGTCCGAGAGCAGAAAGATAAGCCACCTCATGCGCGGTGTTAAAGAGCAGCTCTTTGCTGGTCTCGTGCGGAACTCATCTTCAAGCGTCTACGAATTTTCGAAGCAGGCGACCGCTATCGAACGTGCACTACAGCTACGCTACCGCCAGTATGACCGCCCAAACAACAGCGGACAAATCAGTGCAACTGCCGTGACCACTATGACACCTTACGAGCGTTTTTTGCGTGACCTGATATGTGAAATCCTGCAAGAGGTCAAGAAGCTCACCGCCACACCGAATGACTGCATGATTGCGTCGGTCACTGAAGTCATGCGCCAAGAGATAAGGCAAGCGCTTTCACTTCCTGAGCTGAACTTTGGCACGGTTAGGCCAACCTATGCAAAATTCCTCCGTCGACAGCCATCTAACGTGCCGCCACCACAGCAGTACCACCACCAACAGCCGCCGACAGTGCCTTGGTACTATAGGGAAGTGTCGACGCCGGTGCGACCTCCACTCCGCAAGACCGACATCTGGCGTACCCCTGAGTACAGGCCCTGGTGCTTCCATTGTCGGGAAGCAGGCCACATCGTGTGGTAATGTCCTCAACGCGTAGCCGGGCACCAAGGATTTCCGTTCACTACCCCTCGGCGCTATTTCGACGGAAGACGCAACGTTGATACGAGCACGACGATCCTGTGGGACGTTTCTCCTGGGTTCCGGTCACGCTCACCCTCTCCTGGTCGTTTTCCTCCATCTAATAGAGGTAGCTCCATGGACATGGCGAGAGGAAGATCTGCCAGTCCACAACGGGGAAACTAAAAGCAGCGACCTTGGGGGGGAGGTTGCGAATTTCTGAAGAGTTGAAAATCCCCCATTACCGCCGCACGAATCGCCGCACATTTCGAATGAATCGACAAAAGACGACATTGTCACCGCGACATTACACTTTCAATTGACGGTCACGACGTGACGGCACTGGTCGACACTGGTGCGAGCTTTTCAATAATGAGAGCGCATCTGGCCGACAAACTCAAGAAGGTTAAAATGGATATGACGGTACTGCAAATTAGAGGAGCTGAAGGCCAGCTGCTGACGTCTACCGGGAAGTGCACTGCACGAATCAAGATCGGGGATTCGTCGCAACCTTCGTTATTCTTTCGGAGTGTTGTAACAGGCTATCTTGGGTATCAATTTCTTGTGAGAGTACGGTGCCATCATAAATGTACCGAACGGTGTATTGACCGTCTTAGCGGACCATAGTGCAGCGATGCAGTGCAAGTCCATGCGCGTAATTGACGACGTGACCATGCCACTGTTATCATGCCGCCTCGTCGCTGTCACGTGTAACACGCAGCATAGCGGAGGAGGTGTCGCGGAACAAGTGTCTACACTTTTACTCTCTCGAGGAATATCCATTCCAGAAGTCTCGTCAGTGTTGTATCTAGCCAAGCAGAGGTCCTGTTGAAGAACTTCAGCAACGAGCGTTGACACATTACAGAGGGTACCACAGTTGCATACTTCGAAGAAATTGTAGAATTTCGCGAGCGCTTCGCAGTGCAACAGGCAGAGACACCGGCCACTTCCGCACCACCACCACCTGTCCACGTGAGCACAGATTTATCGCTAGCGCAGAGGCAGAGTCTTCAAATGTTCTCGGCCAGTTCAAAGATTGTTTATTCGACCTCGAAGGTAAATCAAACGCCACTGACAAAGCATCGAATATAACAGAAGAGACGGCCAGACCAATTCGACAAAACCCATACCGCGTAGCACCGAAAGAGCGCGAAGCAATCCAAGAACAACTCCAGAAAATGCTCGACGGTGACATCATTCAGCCATCAAAAAGCCCTTGGGCATCACCGGTATTGCTGGTTAAGAAGAAAGATCGCAGCTTACGCTTCTGTGTGGACTACCGCAAGCTGAACCGCGCGACAAAGAAAGACATGTACCCATTACCGCGTATTGACGATTCACTTGACAGGCTGAGGCATGCACGCTTTTTCTCGTCGATGGACATGAGAAGCGGATATTGGCAAATCGAGTCCGATGAGCGAGACAGAAAAAAGACTGCTTTTGTTATGCCTGACGGGCTTTACGAGTTTAAAGTCTTGTCCTTCGGATTGTGCTCAGCTACAGCGACATTTCAGAGACTGATGGACACTGTCTTATCGTGTCTTTAAGTGGCAGACGTGTCTGGTATACCTCGACGACGTCATTGTTTTCTCAGCAACATTCGAGGAACATCTAAGACGGCTGCTATTAGTATTTCAAGCAATACTGTCCGCTGGCCTAAGGCTGAAACCTGAGAAATGTCATTGCAGTTTCAAGGAACTCCGATTCTTAGGACATGTGATGAGCCATGAAGGTGTTCGTCCGGACCCCGACAAGATCGATGCCATCTGAAAATTTCCGGTGCCAACGAATAAGAAGGCTGTGAGACATTTTCTTGGCCTCTGCGCCTACTACCGCAGATTTATCGCACGTTCTCGCACATAGCGTCGCCCTTAACAAGCAGCATTTGACGATCTGCGACAGCACCTGCAGACACCACCTGTGCTCGCTCACTTTGACGAGGACGCTCCTACCATGATCCACACCGATGCCAGCAACGTAAGTTTAGGCGCTGTACTGTTCCAGTGGCAAGACTCAGCCGAACGAGTGATCGCATATGCAAGTAGGGCGCTTTCCCGCGCCGAGTCCCATTATTCCACAACGGAAAAGGAAGGTCTTGCTGTATTATGGGCAGTTATGAAATATCGCCCATACCTCTACGGCCGTCCCTTCTACGTAGCCAGTGGCCGCCACTCCCTTTGCTGGCTGACCAACTTGAAGGACCTATCTGGTCGGCTAGCGCGCTGAAGATTACGCCTTCAAGAATTCTATATGATGGTCGTCTATAAGTCGGGACGGCAGCACTCTGATGCTGATTGCTTATCCAGGTCGCCTATAAAGTAAGACGATGTCTCGGAAGAGGATGACATGGCGTTTATGGGAGTGGTCGACACGGTCACCATTTCGTCTAAGCAGAAAAAAAGACGGCGAGTTGCTTCCCCTTATTAATTTTCTTAATAGCCAGTCTACAAGAGTTCCCAAGATATTTGCAAGGAGCCTGCCGTCATTTTGCTTGTGCAGTGGTGTCCTATATAAGAACTTTTCCTCCAGCGGAAGTGCCCACTTGTCTTCCCGACATCGATTCTGGATGAGATCCGTCGTGCATGCTACGATGAGCCAACCTCCGGCCACCTCGGATACACGCGCACATTGGCCAGAATCCAACAGAAGTAGTACTTGCCGAAGCTTCCAGGCACTGTAAAGCATTACGTCCGCACGTGCCTCGATCCTCAACGACGAAAATCGCCACTTCTGAAACCAGCCAGATTGTTGCAGCCAGTTCAAGTGCCCACCATGCCATTTGCACAAATTGGAATGGACCTCCTTGGACCATTTCTGAATTCGCATTATGAACTATCTTACTTGCAGAAACAAAGGCATTATCGTGCGGAACCGCAGTAGAAGTGGCACGATTTTTCATTGAAAATATTGTTCTGAGGCATGGTGCTCCTAGGATTATAATAACGGACAGAGGTACTGCTTTTACGGCCATGTTCCTTAAGTCAGTGCTTGTGCTCAGTGGAACAGCGCATCGAAGAACTACCTCCTACCATCCACAAACCAACGGATTAACAGAATGCCTCAACAAGACAATTGTTGATATGCCGAGTATGTACATCGACGTGGATTATAAAAATTGGGACGACGTTCTACCATACGTGACGTTTGCTTATAATACGGCGCAGCAGGAAACTACCTGAAGCGTGCCATTTAGTCTTTTTTTATGGCCGTGAAGTGACGACAATGCTTGATGCCATGTTGCTCCACGACTGCGACGATACAGACACCGATGCTCAAGTCTTTACCCAAGGACCTGAAGAGGCACGCAGCTTGCACGCGTGCGGATCGCCCGGCAGCAGAGTTACGACGCACAACGTTATAACCTGCGACACAGATGCGTCATTTATCAACCAGGCGAGAAAGTGTGAGTCTGGAGCCTTTCTGCCGAAGCGGCCTTTTTGAAAAGTTACTCAAGAAGTACTTTAGTCACTACAGTGTTGTTGTATGGCGCCTAAGTGATGTGAACTATGAGGTCATCCCTGACAGTTCCTCGCGAACTCGCCAGCAAAAATCTGAAATCGTACACGTTGTGCGACTGAAGCCATATTGCAGTGAGCCGGTGGCATAATACCTCAACTACATACACCGTGTATTTTGTCGCAGAGCATCGGGCCGATGCTATTCCTGGAGGGAGGCAAATGCCGCATTCAACCTGCAGAGAAGAGCTCGTGAGCAAGAAGGGAATACTAAGTTCTTGTCCCATCCTCTTTACGAGCGCCTTGCGTGTAATGAAAGTGAGCTCTCCTATATCCGACTTCTGCTGTGTCTGCGTTGTGACAATATTGTAGAAACCGGCGAATGACGTGGCTGTCTGGATCGCATACAGTTCTTGACAGCACCAAAGCTAGTACTCGGTGAACAAAAATGTAGAAAAGATTTATTCCGTCTACGTGCATACGGCCTACCATTGGAAATGGAAGGCTACCATTGTCCACAGAGCTGTTTCGAATGCTAAACTGAAATTGTTGAATATTGTTTTTCAGAATTGTGTATGCTAAGAAAGCCTTACATTAGTTTTTGTCACCACTGCACATAACGTGGTGCGAACAGCAATAGCTTGTCACACCCGGTGTCTAACCTTGCGTACAATATTCTACAGGTGGGAAGATTTCGAATAAGGTGCGCAGAGACAGTGTTCGTTGGTTATGTATGCTTTTCATCGGTTATCATGGTTACATTATAGGATAGCGTGTGACACAAGTACAGTGATGACAAGCAAACCTTTGCTTAGCTTATTCTAAGTGGGCCGCACGCGTACCTTTCGTTAGCAGTCCGGCCCACTTCATGAATCATGCAGCAAAAAGTTTTAGAACCCATTAAGTAAGAGTAGAGTAACAGTTATTTGTCAGAAGCTTCAAGTGCTTTCTCCTTTGATGCCAGCACGCATGCTAGGATGTGTCATTTCGTCAATTCACGTCATGACATTGTTTTTTTGTTTGTCTTTGAATGCGATAGTTACCATTAGTATAATGGTTGAGCACGTGTGGCGGTACCTGGCAACATCTGTGGGGGGTGGTAACTACTTGGCAAACCAGTGAACCCCCTTTAACCTGGGTATATGGCACAGAAATTCTGGTACATGGCCTGGTTTATAGAGAGAGAAGGAAGCAATTTCTATCAGACTTTCAGAAATTATTGCAATTTCTAGGCCACGTGCCGCACTATGAATATTGGCTGGTGTGCTCTCGGGAGCCTCGACTAATGATCGGCAGCACTTTCCGACTATTCTAAAGAAGTGTTGCAGGACCCCTTTAATAAGTATGCTCGCAAGCTACACACTCGACTGGTCTTAAGCGGGCTTTTCTTAAGGTCACAATATGTGCAAACAGAAACGTGGAGTAAGAACTCTATATAGGTGTTCAGATTTCTGTCATTCTTGAGACCTGTATTGACATGTTTCTAATATATAATCTTCACCAGAAATCACTCGTTTATTACATATGCAAGAGTACTCTTTTCAAATGGCGACATTAGCTGACACATTGCCTGAACTACCGCTGCCCTCTTCTGCAATTTCCTTTGACAGACGCAACCTTTTTTGGAGGTGAAGTTTTGTTATGGCAGCTCTCTGGCTGAAGTGAACTTGAGACCTCTGGTCTATAGAGCTTTGCAAGCAGCAAAAATTCAGAGGGCCAGTCAACAGGCTCGGACTTTTCTTTCTACACCCACCCAAAGAAACTCTGGAATTCATAGAGTAGACCGCGGCGATCACGTTTTCGAATTAATACAGCGCTGCACAGAGCCTCCATTTCAAAGAACCATTCCTGCACTCCTTTTATGCACAGCGACTTAGCATGGCATGCAGCTCGTCAATTTCTCTAAACAAATCTCGACGATCGGCTATGCCTTCCCCTCCCTGTGAGGGAGAAGGTAGTGAGGCTGTGCAAAAATTTCAAACCAGCTAAAACTTATGTTTGACCCCTGTCAATTCCTTAACGTATTTGAAAAATCTTGCAGCAGCATGGTAACAAAGTAAAAGTGCACATATTTTTCTTTATAACAATTTTTGGACCTCAGGGTTGCTTTCTGGCACATCAAGAAAAGGATTTTGTAGAGATCATTTGGCAGTGGTTAAATCTGGTTCATTAACCTGTGCTCGTTTGGTTGGCTTCTGGCTGGCTTGACAGTTTTGAAAAAGGTAATCTAAGGAGTGTCTGAAATTTCATTGCATGTAAGTTAACGAGTTCCCCGTTCTTGAATATCGTTGCTATGAATATAACTTACAATATGGCTGCCATGTTAGTTTGCCCAAATAATGGGTTCTTCAATAAGTGCACCTGAACCTGAATGCACAAGTAATTCTGTAGTGTAATACCATAGTCACGAAGCTACTGTGGTGGTTTTTGTGTCTGCCTTGACCTGTTGTTCTCAACTCTAATTTGAGCTGGGTAGATTAGTCACTTGTGCAGTTGCAAAAAGGTGCTTTCTTCAGCAGAAATAGCATATCGATTGTGCAGGAATCATTCAGCTAAAGAGGTTATTAGTGCTGCCATATTAAAGCTTCAGGAAAACAGAGGCACATGACTCATTCGTGGATAACGGCTTACATCAGTTTTGATATACTGAAGTGAATGTGGTAATTGTGTAGTCGTACAAAGGCCATCTCAGCTAGGTGGCAGGGAGAAGTTACTTCAAATCTAAGTGGTCTCGTTTTTTGTACCAAATGAAAGGCTATACTCTCTGGAGCCTATGGGATGTACTGGCAAGTGTGCGTGCATTAAACATTAATTACAACATGGTTTTGAAGGCTAGTTTCAGCTTCTACTGCACTTGCATGTCACGACGTGGTGCGCGCTGCTTCACATGCGCCAACACAAAGTAGCATGGTGTTTTCATGGCTGCTCTGTTCTATGTCTCTGTTCATCACTGGCAAGATATCGTTATGTACTATGTTTTGATACCGGTGTGAAGAAGAAAACGCATCGTTGGCAAGCAACATCGCCACCGCTTGGGTACTGGGTGCTGGGCTTTTCTCGCTCTGCTCGTGCTGATCATCGCCGGCATCTGCTTGACCGTGCTCTGTCCCGATCATGTTTTTATCGTAGGGCCACCGTCGCAACAGTCGCCAATAAACCCCTTTTCACCTGGTATAGTTAGAACTAGCCGTACTAGTGCATCAAGACCTCTGAATTGACTGTAGCCTGACGTCATGCTAGAGTAAATGTTGGTGGTGTTGCTATGCGAAAGTTGCTATGCGAAAATTACGATATTAATCGTAATAAAATAATTTTATAAGACTTTAATCAGCTTCACGCTTGCTCAGGGCAGTCTTCCTGAACAGGATATTTCGTATCGAAGTCAACTCTGCTTCTTTAGTGGTCTGTACTGCTCTTAGTTCATGTCAGTGAGAAGATGGTGACTCCTATACTTTGAGTGAAGCATACGTCTCTTAAACAGAAAAAAAAAAAAAGGGGGGGGGGGGGGGCAAGGTGGTGCTGATTGTCTCTCTTGAGATCCTTTTTTGCAGGACTAGCTGTTTAATTCGCCGTTTCACTTTCCCTTTTGCAGAGGCCAAAGCCCGAAAGGAGCGAAAGCACCAGCAGTTGCAGCAGCATGGTTGCACGTAAAAATGCCAAGAATGCGTCCGAGCACGCTCCCTTGTCTCACCAGAAAGCTCCCGCCCAACGCATGCCGTTCACAAACAGGACTGCCATGGCCGCCATCGTTGACGAAGAGGACAGCGGCGATGAGGAATGGCAGAGCGTGGACGATGAAGAGGAAGAAAATGACGAAGAGGAGGAGGACGAGGAAGGGATGGAGGACGACTCTGAGCAGGTGCTCCCGACTGAGTGCCTGTTCTGTGGTGAGCAGAGTGGCAGTGTTGTGGAGAATGTGGCCCACATGGGGCGTGCGCACTCTTTCTTCATTCCCGACGCGGAGTACCTCGTTGACGTCGAGGGGCTGCTGACATACCTGGGATACAAGTTGGGTGTCGGCCGGCTCTGCCTCTGGTGCAGCAATGAGCGGAGTGCTCCCTTCGTGAGCGTGCAGGCTGCTCGGCAGCATATGCGGGTGAGTGTGGTGGGCCTGGTGATGGAATGTTTAAACCGTGCGGTCAATTTCAAATTGCATAGCCAGGTCTTGTTCAGCTGAAGTTGAATGCAACTTAGCAAGATTAAAGCAAAAGGATTAGATGGGGTGTTTTGTTCTTGAAGCTTATTATGCTTTTGTCGATATCTGTCCAAAGAACACGTCTCCCTGGTTACATTTTTTTTTCATAAGTTTAAACTATGAAGAGTGACATATTTTGAAAACACCAAAAACTGTAGTTTTGAACTAAAACTAGGCCATCCGAAAATCGGCATGGTGGTTCATAAATATATTGCATACCTGCCAAGTCTCCCGCATTATCCGAAAGACTACCAGATTTTGATCATTTCTTCTTTTTGTATAGTTGCCTTGAAAATCTCCCGGAAATTGAAATTTGTGTGCGAGATCTAGACGCTCTGACAAAAATGCAGGTCAGTCTGTTCCGGGCTTTTGCATGCCCATCGCATCTTATTATAAATGAATTTGAGAGGCAATCATTTCAACACACAGTAGAGTCTCAGTGATGCGAAACCGTGGCAGATACGAATTCGTGAAATTCCCCAGCCAAATTCATGTGTGCATTGGGCCGTAATTCGAATGTTCCGAACACTTTTCCTAATCGCGGCATCCGATATGAACTTTAGTACGGAAAACGTCGAACGAAGGCCCATCGAGAGCAGGAAGCTAGAAGCTTCAGAAGTACCCGTGCAACCAGCGTACGCACTGTAGAATGCACGCACTGTATTCGACAGTGCGTGTGGATGTCGTTGCCACAACTGCTGTGGACAAAACCACGGTCGTTTGACACAGTCATGTATGGCAGCGACGTTACTGACAAAACTCTGAAAGTGTGTGCGCAGCCAACCCTGGACCAGTCAAAGAAAGCAACGCTGTTTTCTGCAAACCCTGTGGATGAAACTGCAGTAGTTGTGATCATAGATAGCATAAAACGATTTTGTTTTGGACACAAGTAGATTGAAAACAAAACTACCATTTGCCGCAACTGCCGCATACAAAACCGTGGTCGCGGGGGTGGGATAGCGATCTACGAGGTCCAAGGGTACATGACTGATGCAGCTGTAGATTAAAGATGGTAAAGATGTAAAACCCTACCCTCGCGTGTTCGGCCACTCCACGGCATTACGAGTCTTACAAGTGTGGAAGCTTGGGCTAGTTGGTATGACATGACGATAGTTATAGCGCGAGAACAGAACAGCGACACAGAGACAAGGACACAAGCGCTTCATGAGACCCCAAAGCCGATGTTTCCGCTTGCGTTTGGGACCCCCCCGCTCTTGTTTTATTACAATGTTTTTTCTTGTTTTTTCTTTTGGCATAAAAAATGGGGGAAAAGAATTCAGCACGTTGATTTCACTTCTGGCGGTTGAACATCAGTATGCTTGTCGCTAAAGGCAAGTCCATCACAGTTACAAATTAAGAAAAAAAGTTAGTACCCCCCCTCCATCCCTTTCCCTGATCAGGGGTTTCATGAATTTCTCTGTTGCAGGTTGGTAGGTATGATATCGACTGAATTAATATTTTTTTAGGAATATAGTATGGGGCACAAAGCTGGCCTTTCGATGGAGCAAGTGGGCGTGCATTTGGTAACATTTAATTTCATTTACGTTTTTGTGGAGAGCCATGCAGAGTGGCCTGTGGAAGGAAAAGTGGCATTGGGACAATGTTGCCAGATGTGATTGAGCTAACGTGCATTACACAAGGCGAGCCTGAGTGAAGCAGAAATATGATTTTTTGCTTATTTTTGAAAATACTTTAATTGTAATGAATGTTACTCATGCAAGAAAAAGAGCTGAAAAATCAGTATATATTCCGCACAGTGAGAATATGTGCAAATATAAATAAAAGGACTTATTTACTTCCTAAGGGGTGGTCCCATCAAATTTAAAGGCTATAACAAGCTTGTTGTAGGTTTCCTCCCTATGTAAGGACACTCCACATAAAGGGTGGGCCGAGCAAACGTTTAGAATACAGTTTAGTTACTAAACTTCCAAAATACCTAAACGCTCATTCTCCTGATTGTGGGGCCCATCGATAGCATGTCCAATAATTACGTAGCTCAGTAGTAAGGGCAACAAATTTGAGGCACAGGTTGCTACATTGCTTGCGGGTGCTGCGGCTAGCCATGGAAACTGTCGGCGCATTTATTCTGCACCGACAGTTCTGCTCTCCCACACACGTGCCTGTGTGGCACGTGTGTGGGAGAGCAGACGATACTCATACCGACGCACATCGCAGCCTTGCTGATCGAGTGACCAAGCCACCTACATTGCTATGTCACTGCCCAACTCGGTGCCCAGAAACCGATATCGAAAGCTGTACACATAACTAAGTAAACATTTAATTATTTAGTGTCAATCTTGGTGTGTGCCCCGCAGGGGCGTCTGCGTAAGCAGGCGTTTGGTGTATAGCGACCCCACGGACCCGAGCTAACGGGGGGGTTTCGACTCCCTCCCACGCCTAGCCGTGCGTGGCTTTGCCGTGTCCGCGGAAAAGGGGATCCTGGGGGTTGAGCTGACGCCGGGTGATTGGACCTTTAAGGCTCCCCCGGCAGAGGCAACACACCCCTTTGGCCCCGGCTTCACGTAGACGGCACCCCTGAGCTGACCCACCCAGGGGAAATCAGCAGTCGCCTTTTCCTGTCTCGCTCTCCGTCCCGATCTTCGTTTTTTCTCTCTTCTAATATTTCCTGTCATCTCCTCACTTCTGGTTACTTCCACCTTCCAGGCGGCAAGGGTTAACCTTGTGTATGTGCCCTCTCTTGGTCACATATTATTGGGTTATAGTGGCTTTGTACAGCTGGCGCTGGCATGCCTTGTGCTGCCGCGTCCCCATGTTGGGCTCGATGGTGGGCGGCTGGCATGGCTGCCGAACTTATGTATGCTTTATGGCCTCTTTTTCATTTCCTAAACTGTCTGATCGCCCTCCTCCTAAGAGGGGGCGCACCGAAGCAACACTGAATGTATTTATAAAGCTGAAAGAAATTTTCCCGCGCTTTCATGTCATCCACTGTGAAATGCAAGAAAAGAACGCAAGAACCATTTCTCCGTTTGTCGTTTCTAAATGCCTCGCCAATACACTAGGTCTAGGATATTGGGCTACACGTATGGCTAGCGGGGACCTTCTTCTTCAAGTCTAAACCAAGACCCAGTATGAAAACCTGACAAAACTCACCTCTTTTAGAACAACGCCTGTATCTATCACACCACACCGCTCCCTGAACAGTTCCCGAGGCGTAGTGTCTGATGAAGACCTAATTAACCTGACAGAGAGTGAGCTACTTGAGGGCTGGAACGAACAGCATGTAACGCATGTACAGAGAATTAAGATTAGGCGTGATAACAAAGAAACCCCTACAAAGCACCTCATTCTTACATTTTGCACAAGCACACTTCCAGAATAGATCGAAACAGGCTACTTAAAATTAAAGGTCCGATCCTACATCCCGAACCCCCGATGTTGTATTAAGTGCCAGCGATTCGGCCACGGTCCTCAAAGCTGCTGCAGTATTCAAACCTGTGCAAAGTGTAGTTCGCACGAACATGCCACAGACAATTGTGAAGAAACCACTACACACTGCACGAACTGTGATGGTGGACACTCCGCTTACTTTTGCACATGCCCTACATGGAAACATGAAAAAGAAGTACTCACACTGAAAGTCAATGAAAACATCTCTTTTAGGGAGGCGCGCAAGCGTCTACTAATGCAGGGACCTTCGTTCGCGAAGGTGGCACGAAAGGGGGCAGTGCCACCAAAATCCATGGCGCCCGCATGTACCACACAAAGTGGACGAGTGGCAGCGCCATTCACCCCCTAAGCGGAAGTAGCACAGGCTCTTCCGCCACCAAAAGGCTTGCAGGCCTCCGGACCTGAAACCCCAGGGCCTTCTGTCTCCACAGATAGCCCTAAGACCTCCGTGCCTTCACGCGTGAACCGCGAGCGGGCATCCAGCACCTCGTCCGAGGTGATGGACACAACAGCAAGTCCAGCGGTGTCTTCGGCACCAAAAGGACAGGCGCGGCTCTTTGGAGCGCGCCAGAAAATCAAAAACCATCATTACGGGGCCTGACAAGGCTTTTTGACTTGACGCAATACTTCTTTAGTACACACAGCACTCATTTACAATCAAAATGAATACACAAATAATACAATGGAACGTCAGAGGGCTGCTTAGAAACCTTGACGATATCCAGGAACTCTTAAACAAACATTCCCCAAAAGTGCTGTGTGTACAAGAGACACACTTAAATTCCAAAAACACCAATTTTCTACGTCATTATGTAATATTCAGAAAGGACCGCAATGACGCTGTAGCGTCATCTGGTGGTGCGGCCATTATAGTTGATTAGGGCGTAGCATGTACACATCTACCGCTACAAACATCCCTTGAGGCAGTGGCTGTTCGAGCAGTTCTTTTGAACAAGCTTGTCACCATCTGCTCTCTTTACATACCTCCACAGTACCGTCTCGAAAAGCACTAATTCCAGTCACTGATACATGGAATACCGGAACCTTATGTGGTCCTTGGGGACATGAATGCACATAATGATCTATGGGGCGACTCTCGTTGTGACGCACGAGGTCGTCTAATCGAACAGTTCCTCTTTTCTTCGGGTGCGTGTCTGTTGAATAAGAAAGAACCAACATACTTTAGCCTCGCCAACAAAACCTACTCATGCATAGATCTCAGCATTGTGTCCCCATCGCTTGTACCCCTACTTCAATGGAAAGTGATCAACAATCTTTTTGGAAGTGATCACTTTCCGATCATTCTAAGTACACCACTAGAAAAAGGTCCTCCACATGTTCCCAGATGGAAGACAGACAAAGCGGACTGGAAACAGTTTCACAACACTACTCGTTTAAGTTGGACCGACATATGTAGATTAAACACAAATGAAGCTGTGCAGTACTTCACTGCTTTTCTTAATGATGCAGCAGCCAAGTGCATACCGCAAACATCTGGTATGCCAGGCAAGCGACGCGTCCCATGATAGAACACTGAGTGTCGGAATGCGCGAAAGAAGCAGAACAGAGCATGGAAGTTGCTTCGGAATTCACCGACAGCCGAAAATCTTGACAGCTTTAAGAAAATGAAATCTCAAGGCAGGAGAACGCGTCGGCAGGCCAGAAGAGAAAGCTGGCACAAGTTTTTATCACGGATAAATTCATATACACAGGAGGCTTATGTCTGGAACATGGTTGGTAGGGTAGCAGGAAGACGAGTACACTCACTCCCACTTGTAAACACACATGGTGACAGCCTAGAAGATCAGGCGAACTTCCCCGGTGCACACTAAGAGCAGGTGTCTAGCTCGTCACACTGTGCCGAAGCTTTCCAAATATACAAAGGAAGGATAGAAAAGTAGAAACTAGAATTCAAGTGCACAAATTATGAGGCATACAACCAATCTTTCAACTTAGCTGAGCTCCAAACATCACTAAACTCCTGCAGTAATTCTGCCCCAGGCTACGATCGTGTCACGTATGAAATGTTGAAAAACCTGCCGCTCAAAATGCGAAAAACTTTACTCTCCCTATACAATGCTATCTGGCTTTCTGGCACCATCCCTGCTTCCTGGAAAGAGGCTATTGTCGTCCCTATTTTGAAACAGGGCAAGGACCTTTCCCCAGTTTCGTGTTATAGGCCCATTGCACTTACAAGCTGCCTTTGTAAACTTTTTGAGAAGATGATGAACCGCCGACTTTTACATTTCCACGAAACACACAATCTGCTCGACCGATTCCAGTGCAGGCTTCGAGAGGGTATATCTACCACCGACCATCTGGTGCGCATTGAGGGAGAGATTCGAGACGCTTTCGTCCACAAACAATACTTCCTCTCTGTTCCTCGATATTGAGAAGGCATACGACACAACATGGCGTTTTGGCATATTAAGAGACCGATCTCACTTGGGTGTGCGCGGTAGAATGCTTTCCATAATCGAGAGTTGTTTGTCCAATTGGACATTTCGTGTCCGTATGGGCAGTATTCTCTCCCAAACATTTGTCCAAGAAAAGGGAGTACCGCAAGGTGGTGTACTTAGTTGTACACTTCTTATTATCAAAATGAATTCCTTGCACCTGTCCAGCCCCCGCAACATGTTCTATTCCACATATGTCGATGACGTCCAGCTTGGCTTTAAGTCATGCAACCTGGCAATGGGTGAGCGGCAGGTTCAGTTAGGTTTAAACGAGGTCTCCAAATGGGCAGAGGAAAATGGATTCCGACTGAACCCACAAAAAAGCACGCTTGTCTTGTTCTCCCGAAAGAGAGGCGTGCACTCACAACCCGTTGTTGAACTGAACGGTCAACGCCTGTCTGTTAATGCGGAACATAAATTCTTATGTTGCTTTATGTTGGACAACAAGTTGACTTTCGTACCACACATCAAGTATTTAAATATAAGATGTTTAAAAGCCATGAATGTTTTAAAAGTATTGTCACGTACTACATGGGGTAGTGACAGGCAATGTCTAGAAGCCTCATTTGCACCCGCTTAGATTATGGGGCCGTTGTTTATCAGTCTGCGACTCAAAGTGCTTTGAAGATGCTGGACCCCGTGCACCATTTTGGCATCCGGCTTCCTATGGGTGCTTTTCGCACCAGCCTCGTAGAAAGCCTTTACATTGAGTCAAACGAGTGATCGCTTCATCTGCTGAGAACTTACATGTCCTTTGTATATTTCCTTAAGGTGAAAGCAGACAAGAAGCACCTCGCATACTTTACTATTAATGATTTGTCGAGCTCCATTCTGTTCTAAAACAGGCCCTTGATGGGGCAGCCCTTCTCGGTTCGCCTGAAGGGTCTAGCTGAGGAAACTGGAGTGTCACTTGAACACAGTTTAATGGCTCCTGTAGCATACCCGCCGCCGTGGCAGCGGCAGACTATAGACTGTGATGTGTCTTTCTTAGAAGTTACAAAATATGCGCCTATTGCCCATATCTGAACATACTTCCTGGAACTTCAACGCAAATACACACGTCCTGAGTTCTTTACAGATGCCTCCAAGTCTAACTCCTCTGGGTCCTACGCTGCTGTCGGCCCATTCTTTTCGGATGCTGGCCCTCTACATCCAGGCACAAGTATCTTCACAGTGGAAGCTTACGTGATACTTGTGGCGGCTAAACACATCAAACAATTACAAATACAAAAAGCAGTAATTTATACGGACTCCCTCAGTGTGGTAACGGCTCTGCACACTCTTAAAAAAAAAAACAAAAAAAAAACCTGTTTTCGTCGCACTTTACTCCATTTTCTGCACACACTACACACTCAAACAACATGTTGTAGTGTGCTGGGTGCCAGGGCACCGTTAAATCCAAGGCAACGTGATGACGGATCAGCTTGCTGCATCTGTCCACGAAAGCACTGCCACTGGCACACCCATATCAATCCCGGCCCTTGATCTGAAGCAGTCTCTCAAGCGAATGCTCAGGGACTACTGGCAGGGCAATTGGGATAGACACACACAAAACAAACTACACATTATTAAGCCACACCTTAGCGTTTGTCCGCCAGTATCGAAATCGCGTCATACAGAGGTAATACTAACGAGGCTCAGGATAGGACACACATACACGATACTCACATATCTTTTGTCCGGTGGCGATCCATCATTGTGTGACAGATGTGGTGAAGCACTAACAGTTCTTCACATTTTAATCCAGTGCAAACAGTTAGAAGCTCTAAGAAAACAACACTTTCCATTACCCTACCAACAACATATATCTTTACACCCTGCAATGTTCGTCGGTATGGAACCACTTTTTAGTCGTAAATCATTGTTGGCGTTTTTAAAAGAAATTAATAGTTTTCATATCATATACCCAGGCATTCCATAGCACGACCTTTCCAGAGAGGTTTTCGCTGCGGTGGCTATACAACAAAGCACTTGCCTCGCTGCCCTTGGTTGCAAGGGTATGAAAGAGTGAGGCACTTGTGCTAATGGCATACATGTCCACCATCATTTTTTATTATCACCACTTTTGTCATCTATTCAAGCCACTCACACCTTTCACGGCATGGTCATGAATTTATTACTTGTATGTTTTTACCCGCCTTACCGCGAGGAATTTTATGGCCCTTTACAGCCGCTTATCACAATCATTGTCCATATCTTAATAAGATGAACTGGCGCTCTTTGGCCGTGAAATGGCCCTTGCGCCACAAAACATCAAACATCATCATCAATTTTGATGTGTGTATCACCTACTCTTGCATTAAGGAACGCGGAAGCCACAATTTTGTGGAACCACCTTTTTAACCTTGTCTCTATTCAATTGAATGCACATTTGCTAGCGCATGATTATGATTAACACTACTTGTTGATTCCCCTGATGGCGTCGACAGCGAGCAATTTAAAGCAATATTTTGACTTGTAGGATGAACTTCTGTTTTTATTTAGTGCATAGTATTTTAACACTGGCTGAATAAGGAACGCAGCAGGTATTGATGAGGCCTGTTCGTGTTCATCCATTAGTCTGCAATCGGTTAACCTTGAAGCTTACTTCAGGCAGCAATCACTTTATTCGGTAATGCTTAATTCAGTATGCACTCTCTGCCATGAAACTACGTCTGTAGGCCACGCAAAGTACTCGTACACTACCATAGCAGTACTGTTTCTGCAATATTAGTGTACAAGTACTACTGTAAAGATATCTAGGGGTTGATCAAAACTCATTTGGCGTGAAAAAAATATATATATATCGGGGCTGAAGGAAGTGTACGCTTGCCAAGAAAGAGAGAAGACACAACATAATTGACGTTTCGGGGCCCAATATGGGTTCCTTGTTTACAATGAGCCAATGAATGGCGTTATTTTATGTGCGTAAAATGACTTGACGTGCTTTCATATATTACAGGGAGTGGCCCCATGTCCAAATTTATTGTGCTACTAGTAGATTGTATGAACAAAGATGTGGATGCATACAACCTACTATTTAAGAAGATATATGTAGCTGCTATGGCGGCTGCATTTTCGATGGAGGCGAAAATGTTGTAGGCCCGCGTGCTCAGATTTGGGTGTACCTTAAAAAATCCCAGGTAGCCAAAATTTTTGGAGCCCTCCGCTAAAGCGTCTCTCATAATCATATGGTGGTTTTAGGACATCGAACCCCACATATCAACCAATCAATCGATGGGAGGGACGTGCTTGTGCACTTTGATTTCTGTGCTCTTTTAAAAAAAACTTGGTGTGGTCGGAATTCATCCAATTATCTTTGCTATGGTGTATTGTAAAACAGTGTTGCTTTAAATCTTAAATCTCAGTAGTCAATCAATTCCATCGCCTGTAACAATATTCAGTTTTGCACTGTACATCGTGCCTTCTTGTTTGTCTCTTATCTGTTCCAGGACAAGGGCCACTGCAAGATGGCTCATGACGGAGTGGATGGCTTGATGGATTACTCGGACTTCTACGACTACACGGCAAGCTACCCAGAGGGAGAAGGTGGCAGTGCGGATGAAGAGGTTGACGTCAATGTTCTCGATGGTGATGGCTGGCAGCTCGTGCTGCCATCTGGAGCTGTGGCAGGTCACCGCGCCCTGGCAAGGTTAGTCGGTGTATCTGGCTTACCATATACACTCGCATAATGATCGCATTTTTTTTTTTCAAAAAAATTTACGCTACTCCAACTTCGGGATGCGATCATTACGCGGAGAAAATTTACCGTGAAAAAATATTCCGAGCACCGAAAACGCAAAAAAGTCGCTAATAAGAATTCTTACAGTAGCTATCATGAACATAACCAAAAATAAAAGTAAATTAAGGCTTACCTTTGTAATAAAATGCATGCATTACAAAGGAGCTACATGCATGGCACACTGCCTTTTTAGTTTTTACCTCTCTGGCCTCCTAACGTTCATTCAGACTCCGAAGCGTCAGTGTCGTCGCCGCACGATTCCCTGTCGGAACCGGCAGCGTCTTCACTGTCCCACAGAGGGTCATCTTCCGCTCTGTTGAGCGCGTTGGAAATGCCAGTCTTTTTAAAGCTCTTGATGGCCACCTCGTCGGAAATGGTTTCCAATATCTAATACGGATTTCGTCGATGCCGAAATGTATGCTGGCAGCTCGGTTTCCGTAGTCAAGCGCTTTTAGCTTGAACGCAGCAGTAAAGCTCGCGTACCGCCCCATGGTGAAACGGCGCTTCAACTGACGATCACAAAGCACACACAAAAAAAACATGGTCTCAGGGAAAAAAAAACAGTGCTGCGGGATGAACACAGGTCAACCAACAGGCAGCCGCCGCTGTAACAGTGCGGGATGTTGAAACAAACATGGCAGATGACGGAGCAAAGCGACCGCATTTTTTTTCTTCTTTTCATCCATTATGGAGGTTGTGGGTAAGTCACGCGCATCAAAACAGTTTCTTTCATCTAAATAAGGAATGCTTTCATTTAAATCGGTAAATTTACGGCATTAGCATAGTGATGCCTGCCTTCAGATCACAGAAACAATGATAGGCGCGTTCAGCTGCCACAGACATGAAAACGCATGGCGGGCATTCAGTGAAGACTGTGGCATATGCCCTTAGTGCAATCGTACATGGCACGTTTTCGCCAATGAGGGGCAAAAATTTAGAATGTTTGGTGCGTACAGTTGCCCCGCCGCGGTGGTCTAGTGGCTAAGGTACTCGGCTGCTGACCCGCAGGTCGCGGGTTCAAATCCCGGCTGCGGCGGCTGCATTTCCGATGGAGGCGGAAATGTCGTAGGCCCGTGTGCTCAGATTTGGGTGCACGTTAAAGAACCCCAGGTGGTCAAAATTTCCGGAGCCCTCCACTACGGCGTCTCTCATAATCATATGGTGGTTCTGGGACGTCAAGCCCCACAAATCAATCAAATCATTGGTGCGTACAGTCGGCCAGTTTTGAAGAGTTATTAATGCAACATTCGACAGATAATGAAGGCGATGATCATCGGCTTGACTTGGCACACGACATATCAACGCGGCAAGTTCGGGGTGCGATCATTACGCAAAAAAAAAAAAAGACAACAAAATTTAGGGGTGCGATCGTTACGCAAGTAAACACGGTAGTTCGAGGTGTGCTCCACTTTCCGGTGCATATGCAGCACCTTTGTGTAGAGGTACCCACTAAGTTTCGAGACTTTCAAGCAAAAAATGGTATTATACAGGCAAACCCTGCTACCCACTAAGTTTCGAGACTTTCAAGCAAAAAATGGTAGTATACAGGCAAACCCTGCTACAATGAACACCGCTTTGAGGAAAGTTTCAATACAAAAAAAAAAAATTTTTCTGTTCCCTCTCTGCAGTCCATGAGTGAATGCATAAATACTCTCACCACATTCTTTTTCTTCTGCCGTTTCGCTGCAACAAAATATGATGATGCGATTCAAGGCCCAGATATTTGATGCGCGGATGTAAACGCAATCTTGAACTTTTTGGTGCCTTTTGAGAACATGAAAGTACACCTACAAAGTTACAAAGTCTAAATCAGGTGTTGCGACCACCAGCAACCACCGCTATTGAGCATGGAGGAAAGAGAATGTTGTTGACTGAGCATGGGGGCTGCCATTGCTTGATAGCGATGGCAATGAGACTGCCCTGCTTTTACCACTGGCTCGCTTCTTAGTGATAGGCAATCCGAAGCTGAAGCTGAATCGCTCAGTCGTCCATACTGCAGGTATGTGAAATCGCGGAACAATGCCTTTTCCGATCCAGGGATGTTTGTTCTTTCAGAGCTTGGCCGTTGTGGACAGTGTTCAGAGGGACGGTTTGTCTGCATTACCAACAAGATCAGCCAGCCGTAACAGTTGGAAGATAGAAATAGCATAGCATAAGGCATAAATCACCGCTCCGTAATACTATTCCTGCATTTCTTCGTTGTCAGAGACCTTGTTGATGGCAGGTAGCTGCTAATAAGCTTGTTAGTGCAACTATGCAGGTCATGTTGCGTGCCTGTGCCTCTCTTCAATTCGTGTGCAAAAGCCATTGTTGTAGCCTACTTTTCACCCAGGCAATGCATGTGTGAGAATCGAGTCATGACTCGGCTGGGAAATAAAAGGGAGCAGCCGACACTTTTTGAAGTTCAGAAATTTCAGTTCCTTCTAGTAGCTGAGGTCAGCTATATTGTTTATTTCACTGCATCAAAGTTTTCGCTTATAAGAAATTTTTTCCCCGCACCAGCAATTTCGTTGTAGTGGGGTTCAGCTGTACCAGCATACCTGCCAACTCTCCAAGTTTTAAGAAATACTCCCGATTGTATGGTCGTTCGCAAACATCTCCTGAAAGACAGCAATAGTGCCACCATGAAAACAACATGATAAATAGTAACTGACAATACCAGTTTAGTTTTTTCTGATCATATGTCAGTTGCTTTCGGCACTTTTGCTGCAGTACACCAGTGTCATGCAGCATATTGTCACGCATGGGGTACCCAGCACCTCCACCAGTTGTCACGTGCTAAGAGCTCGAAGGAACGTACAAAGAGACGCGACTGTCAAAATCTCGGAGACAAAAGGACGTCTCCGCTGGCACAGGTTGCTCGTCTTCGTCTTTCTCTGTTCACCCGAACATAACTGACCCACTGTTCACTGGCACAGAACACCAGGTGGCAATATTAAGATTTGCAAGGGGCTACTACCTGTCATAGGGCACAGCAGTTTTTGACCCTTATATACACATTCTGTATAATTACGATTACCAGTATGATTGCTGACATTCACAAGTTCGACTACAATCAAAATCACTACAACGAACGCCGCTTGAACGAAATTTCTGCTACAACGAAAAATTCACGATTCCCTGTCAGCAGTCCATAGGAGTCAATGCATAAATATTGTCACGTCGCTCCAGGGGTGTCGAGAAGGTTTATTGACGTTTGAGCAACAGGGCTCTAACCAAGCGCGTCGGTTGGGCTTGTTTGCCAGAGCAGGGGCCCACGCGCACTTCCTTCTTTTTTGTAGTGTGTGCCTTCGCCTTGGCATATGACCCACTACTAGAAGTAGGTGGCAATATTCCTCCTCAACAAAAAAAAGAGCATCGTCTCGATGCTGTAGAGTTATTGCAAAAGAAAACCCAAAACAAAGTAGCTTAAACATTAAAAAAGGGCACGAACAATCAAATGTTACACGCGATAAGTTCACCAATGATGAGGCAATTGTCGGAGCACAAATAAAAAAACACAAGAAAAGTGGTCTTTTAGGAACGCGCAAAATAAGGCTTCATGCGTACCACGTGAACTGTGTCAGAGGTCGGTTGTCTTCGTTGTACCCGTCGTGACGACGTAGCATTCGGAACCACTTCGTAGTTTACGTCACTCACGCAGCGTAATACTTTATACGGGCCGAAGTATCTGCTGATCAACTTTTCGGAGAGGCCACGGTGACACGAACAGGGGTCCAAACCCAAACTTGGTCTCCTGGACTGTAAGATACGTCATTGTGACGCATATTGTAACGTCGTGCATCGACTTGTTGCTGCTGACCATTCTGTAGCCGGGCGAGCTGGCGAGCTTCCTCGGCACGCTTTGCAAATTCTTCTGTGTCAGTTGTCAATTGATCAGTGTCTTCACAAGGAAGCATGGCATCTAGCATCATCTGAACTTCGCGGCCGTAGAGAAGGCGAAACGGTGTAAATCGGGTTGTTTCTTGAACGGCGGTGTTACAAGCGAACGTCACATAAGGCAAAATCTGATACCATGTTTTGTGTTGGACGTCGATGTACATGGAGATCATGTTTGTGACTGTCTTGTTTAGTCGCTCAGTTAAGCCGTTGCTCTGCGGATGGTAAGCAGTCGTCGTTTGATGCCTAGTGTTACTTAGTCGAAAAACTTCAATAAGCTGTGCAGTGAACACTGTTCCTCTATCGGTTATCACTATAGATGGATCACCGTGGCACAGATAAATGTGGCACATGAAGAACTGTGCTACCTCGGAAGCCGTGGCTCGTGGTATCGCCCGTGTCTCAGCATAGCGGGTCAAATAGTCAGTTGCAACAATGACCCATTTGTTGCCGTCGGACGATAAAAGAAATGGGCCGAGAATGTCCATGCCGACTTGGTCAAATGGCTTGTGGGGTGGATCAATGGGCTGAAGTAATCCAGCCGGCTTGCTTGGTGGTGACTTTCGATGCTGGCATTCACGACAGCTTTTGACGTACTGCTTCACGCTTGCCGAAAGTCCGGGCCAGTAGTACACCTCACTTACTCTGGCGAGCGTTTGCGAGTAATCTAGATGACCAGATGTGTGCTCGTCATGACCCGCGGAGAGGACGTCGTCCCGCATGTCCTTCGGAATGACGAGGAGATAAGCGCGGCTCGTAGAACGGGCGTTTTTTTTTGTACAGGACATTATCTCGGAGGCAGAAAGACGTCACGACGCGAGATAGATGGCGAGGTATAACGCGCTATGACAGATAGTCGATGAGCGGTCGAATCTCTTCATCCTCTCGATGGCGCCTGCTCAAGTCAGATGAGCTAAGGGCGCCCAGGAAGCCGTCATCGTCCTCTTCTTCTTGATTGACTAAAGGTATGGGTGCACGCGACAGTGTATCAGCGTCTTCATGCTTCCGTGCAGACTTATATACGATGGTCA